ATATGGGTAGTATTAGGGTCGGTCCCCCAAATGAGTATGGCACCCTTACAAAGGTGCCTAATCCTTTTTTCTGCTATTTAACGGGAGGGCCCCCAATAGAAACTCGGAACGTGTTTACTATTAGGGGTTTTCTTTCTTTGTTGCAACTTTTGAGGGCTCTTGCTCTTGCTCCTGGGCGGGCTTTTGCTTCCGCTCTTGCTACGTCCGTTGCTCTCACTACTGCGCCTGCTCTCGCTCTTGCTGTTGCTCCTGCTCTTCCTTTTGCTTTTGCTTTTTCTCTTGCCTTTGCTCTTGCTTTTTGCTCTTGCTCCTGCTCTTAAGTTTGCTCTTGCTCCGGACCCCTCTAATGCAAATTACGTTTTAAACAGCAGGGATGATTTCGGGAGGATTGGCCCCAAAGTGTCTTTGTTATAAGGGGGGCGTTTAATACATGGGGCAAGAGAATAAAGGGGATCCTAATTTAGAGACTACATCCACAGGGCCCTTCAAGGGCCCCGTTTTTTGTGGTTTGGGGCTTTGGGGTCCACCTAGGGATTTGGGGTCTCGGGGTTTAGTCGGGTTTTGGTAAGGAGTAGTAGGCTAAAGTGGGCAGAGCAGAGCGGAGCAGGGTAGATACTCGTACGCACACCCTCAACTTGCCCTCACCAAGACACTTTCACTGCAAAACGCTTCTGAACGGTGCGCCTATATGATAAAACAGAGTAAGCTAAACCTTTCCTTTCGGAACCTTTCCAAACCTCTTCAGGCTGTCGCATAGAACTTTGTAGAATCCTTTATCAAGGAGCTATTACACAACACGAAATACCACACACCCTACACCCTAAACCTCCAAATTCAATACCCCAAACCATACGCCTTTGTATACACAATCTCACCAAACGAAAAGCACCCTCAAACTGTTACAGTGCCGTCGCAGACAGAACCCTGCTACAACACTTGCCGAAAATAGGGGACCCTAATATGGTACCAGGATCCTTATGAAAAGGACCCCCCAAATAAGGTACCCTTATTTTCGGAAACTCCCATGTACAGAAATCACAGCTGCCGACCCTTGTTGTCCGGAACCCTTGAGGAACTCTTAAGCTTGAACCCCCGTAAGAAACCCTGGGTAGAACGCCTCATAGAGCCCTCAAGGTGGGGGCAGACTGGACCTTCCACCTGCGCTCTGCCGGACTCCCAGCCGGCGGGTTGGTTTTCGTGTTTAGGAGTATGGGGTTTAGGGCCTAGGGTTAGGGTTTCAGGGTAGCTATAGGGTTTAGGGTTTAGGTTTTGGGCTTGAGCGGTTTAGGGCTTTGGTCTTTTGGAGCGTTGCGGACCTTTATCCACGGAATCTTTGAAGGGTTGCTAGAACTTGGAGGTTCATGGGTAGCTATAGTTGGGGTTATAGTTAGGGTAACTATGGTTATAACCCTCTTATTAGGGGACTTACAGCCCCATTTTTATTACCCATGAGCCTCCAAGAAGGCCCTAAACCCTATATCCTTCTAGAATCCCTATAGATCCCTTTAAAGGGACCACGTTGGGCTTACGCTCAGGCGGGGTTACGTTAACTTTAGGGCTTTAGGGCTCAGGATCCTCGGGTTGAGATCAAAGGGGACAAGGAGGGACCCTTAATGGGGACCCCTACTCTATAATGGGTATATAGCCGCTATATTAAGGGTGTATACCTAGGGTCCCCTAAACCCTAAACCCTAAACCCTAAACCCTCCTTTTACCCTTGGATGAGAGTTGTGGGTTGAGGGTTTGGGCACGCATGGAAGATCTCGGCCCGGGAGCATCTTTTCCCCAGGGCTTAGGGGTTTAGGGATTTAGGGTTTAGGGGTTCAGGGATTTAGGGGCTTAGGGTTTAGGGGTTTAGGGATTTAGGGTTTAGGGTTTAGGGTTGAGGGTTGAGGGTTTAGGGGTTTAGGGATTTAGGGTTTAGGGTTTGGCGGCTTAGGGGCTTAGGGGCTTAGGGGCTTAGGGGCTTAGGGGTTAGGGGTTTAGGGTTTAGGGTTTAGGGGCTTAGGGTTGAGGGGTTAGGGGTTTAGGGGTTTAGGGTTGAGGGTTTAGGGGTTTAGGGTTTAGGGGTCAGGGATTTAGGGTTTAGGGGTTAGGGGTTTAGGGGTTTAGGGTTTAGGGGTTTAGGGGCTTAGGGGCTTAGGGGTTTAGGGGTTTAGGGTTTAGGGTTTAGGGTTTGGGGCCTATAGCAAGTCCCTGTGAAAGACGAACTTCCGGATTGCACCCGGTCTTTGCCGGTGGATCCCGCCCGTCCTCCGCGTTACATGGGTCCAGGGCCCTTCTGCAAGGTTCAATCTTAGGGTTCCAATTCGTATTCCCAATTCTTATTCCTAATTATTATTAAGGCCCCTATGTTTATAGTCCTTCATAGTATCCCTGGTTAGCTGAACGAAATATTTTAGAACTACTACCACGAAAACCCTTTGTTCTTTTTAATACAATTTTACGTCTTCTATTAGCAACAAATCCACGTTTTATAGTAGCCCTTGTAGACCCCTGTAAAGGGGAACCCTATTCAAAGTGCTCTCTGTGGCCGAGGAGGAGCAGGAGATGTGCGGCACAGCCGGCGCGTTTTGGAGTCATCCTAAAGTGTCAGGGCATTGGGTTGGGAGACAGTTGGGAGTTTCCGTTCCGAAAAACAGTGGTACCTTATTTTTGGAGTTGTTATAATGAGGATCCTGCTATTTAGGGTACCATGTTAGGCTCCCCTATTTGCGGAAACTCCCAATTGTCCCGAGGTAAGCAGGCATGTCGGCGAGATAGGGCAGGTCACAGCGTAGTTGCTTTCTTGGCTTAGAGTTTAGAGTTTAGAGCCTCAAGGGTTTAGGGTTCCCTTCGTAATTCGAGGCTTCATCTCGGTTTGAGGTTTCAGAGTACCAGCTAGGATGCCCGGTACTACCCTTATTCCCTTTTTGTAGTCCTAGGTTCCTTATAAAGTTACCCAATACCAAAAAGAGAGGCCTTTTTATTCCTAGGTTACTGGGTAACCTAACCATTTAAAACTACCCATGAACCTCCAAGTAGACCCTAAACCCTAAACCCTAAACCCTAAACCCTAAACCCTATACCCTTATAGAATCCCTATAGATCCCTTTAAAGGGACCCCAAGTCTGAGGTGCAGGGACCCCTTGTAGCTCCTAACGCGGCTTCCAGTTGGACGTTCCTGGGCCGTAGTTCAGGTGGCTCGCAACCTAGGATGCCCAGTAGTACCCTTATTCCCTTTTTGGTAGTCCTAGGCTAACAGGCAGGGTTTAGGGTTTTAGGTGTATGTAAGGCAGAAGATTTGGGGTTCAGGTTTAGGGTCTACGGTTTAGGATCTAGAGGAGATACAGGGCATATAGCGTAGATGAAAAGCGTACATGTAAGGCTTGTTAGGGAGGCCGTTGTAGACCAGCATCCTGCAAGCGGCAACCGTCCAAGCTCGTAGCCCCGTCCCTTTAACACCTAAGCTCTTTACCCCCTGGACCCTGATCCATAAACCACAAATGGTAAAACCTTGACCTCTGAACCCTACTCCCGAAACCCTAAACCCTGACTGAAGAGGCTGGACGCTTGTTTATGCCTCGATGTGGCTGTGGACGTGCTTGCCTCAGCCTTTTCAGTTTAGGGCATGTGGGGTTTAGGGTACTGCAAGGGTTCCTTTCAGGCTTCCTTGATGGGTTCCTGTACGCGTTTCTTCAAGCGGAAGTAGGAAGTTCAGGGTGTAGCGTGCTTAGAATTTAGGAGTTTGGGGCTTAGGGGCCTTTAAGGTTGTAGTCGAGGCCGATTCGAAGAGATCCTTGTCGTTTCTTCGTCCCTCGCTGTCGATGTTGGCTTGTTTAAAGACTAGTGACTAGTGGCTGGTGACTGCTTCTCCTCAACCGAAGCTTTTGACCGCACCCAAGCCCAATACCCGTAAACTTCACCGCAGGCGCTTTCCGTTCTGGTCCCTTTGCAGAGCTAGCTTAGGATAACTTCTGCAATGACTCACAGCACAATCAATAGTCTTTCGAAAGACTCTGAGCATGGTAAGTGCAAGCACGTCCTTAATCATCAGTCATACTCAGGACACGGATAGCCAAGGAAGTCATCACCATAGCCGTTCCCGTCAGCTTAACACAGCCACCATCATCATCTTCACAGCGAAATCGCTATTATAAAAAAGCCCACCATCGTCAAAGGCCTAGCTCACACACCAAATCTGGCGCCCTAGACCCCAAACCAGACCCGAAATCCCCACACCCCTAAATCCCTCGAACCTAAACCCTCAACCCTACCCCACGCAAACCCAAAAAAGGCTGACAAAAGCAAAAAACAAGCTCTACGCATGGTGATGAGGATCCTTCTCATCTGCGAGCTCTTGGGCGCCCGGGGCCCGGGAAGCACCGGAGTTGCCACGGATGCTCAGATCCTCTGCGCTGCGACCCGTGTGTTCAACGCCTCTCGAATTTTCCGCTCTAGGGCTTGGGGGTAAGGAGTTAGGGTTCAGGGTTTAGGGTTTAGGGTTCAGTGTTTAGGGTTTAGGGCTTGGGGCCTTAGTGTTGTAGACCTGATATAATCCGGAAGGGCCTCGGAGAGCCTTGGTTTCGGTTGTGGAGCTTTCTGATGAAATCTTCACCTCGTCCTTTTAACTACATAAGTACATAAACACATAGATGAATACATAAATACATAATAAGCGAGGTAATCAGGTGAGCCAAGACATAAACACATGTAAATATACATGCACATGTCTATATATATATATATATATCTGGCTGTCTGTTCTCTCAACCAGGGGAACGAGGTCCCTCAGCCTCCATCCGAGGACCGTGCTTACATGGCAGCAGCAGAGCCCTGTACAGGGCAATACTATTCCTTATATTGGCGTTGCCGAAAATTAGGGGCACCTTATTTTGGGGTCCTTAAAATATATAGCCGACAACCCTAGTCTAGTTGTGGAGGCCCCCTGTAACATGGGACGATGGTGGTTTTGGAGATAGCCATGTTGGTGGTTATCATGAGGAAGATTCCCATGTCGGATGCTGATGGTCATGATGGTGCTGCGAATGCTGATGGTGGCGGTCGTGGTGGTTGTGATAGTGCTGGCAGCGCTGATGGTCGTGGTGTTGGTGGTGAAATTGATGATTATAGTGATGATGGTGGCGGTGGTGGTGCCGGCGCTGACGGTGCTAGTCCTAGTGATGGTCAGGACATGGTGGTGCTAGCGCCAGTGATGCTGCTGCGGTCATGGTCTCGTCAACCCTGGGTAATGATGCCTCTCAGCATCATGCAGGCAAGCCCAGCAAGACATAATAATAATAATAATATATACATATATATATATATATATATATATGGGCCTCAACAACTGTTGTATCATGGCCCCAAAACCTATTCTAATCATTAAGGCCCCTATATCATAGTACCCTTAAAGTATCCCTTATAGTAGCCCTTATAGATCCCGTTAAAGGGACCCTATTCTAATTCTTAAGGCCCCTACACTATGGGTCAAGCCCGAGGCATGTGCGCTTTGCTGGCGCGCCGCCGTCTTCGCCGAGCACGAGCTGTCCTTGCAGCACCTCGCGATTCGGAGCCTCTTGGGCTACAATAGCACCATATGGGAGCTTCCGGAAATTAGGGGTACCTTATTTGGGGGTCCTTATAATAAGGATCCTTCTATTTAGGGTACTATATTAAGGCCCCCTATTTTGGGAAGCTCCCATATAAGACAAGATAACATAGTATACGATATACTTTAGTCCAATAGAATATCACACAGTATACTTTAAACTTATACTGTGTGTGAGATAATGTGATACTATACAGTATGGTACTGCGTCTCTGCCGATGATTTCCCCGAAAGAGGCACTTCGGGGAGGCTCATGGTTCTTTGGAGTGACGTTGATGTTGATGTTGTGGAAGCTGATGAGAACGGAAGATGGTGGGGATGGTGTCAATGTTGATGATTACCTTGATGGTGCTGGCAGTGAGGGTGATGGTGATCGCACTGATGATGGTGATGGCAGCGAGTTGTGCTCGCGATGTTGTTGTTCTTGTTTCTCATCGTATCAGCACCCTTGGTGACTATATCCTCTCTGGATGCCCTGAACCTTTAGTCCCGAACACGGTCTTAAGTCCCAGACCCTATACCCCAATCCCAAATGCTGCAAGCCCCCTCAAACCCTAAACCCTAAATCCTACCTTGACCAACCACAAGCCCTAAAGCCGCAAGCGCTAGCAAATCAGCCCGACAGTGCCTGGATACCCTGATAAGGGAAGAGTTGTCAAATCATTACAAAAAAGGCTCCAGGAAGCCTCAAGTAGGAGCCCCGTAATCAAGGAATGTTGAATTTTGGACAGCTTCAGGAAAACGTTTAATTGCAAAGCCAGGGTAAGGTTTGTTGATGCCTTCTTGCAGCCTGTGTGCCCCTACCTCCAACCGCGAGGGCTAATTTTTAAGCTTCTGCACTGCACATAAGAAGCTAGGATGCCCGGTAGTACCCTTATTCCCTTTTTGTGGTCCTAGGTTCCTTATAAAGTTACCCAATACCAAGAACAGAGGCGTTTTTATTCTTAGGTTACTGGGTAACCTAGGAAGGCATGCACACCATCATGGCCAGAGTTTTAGGTTTTACTAATTTTTTCCTAGAGTTATAAGGATTACTTAGAAGCTGCGGAACCGCGTGAGGCGCCGGTATACTCAGCCATAATTCCCATCGTTTAGGGTCCTTAAGGTAATGCAGGATTTGTATCATCAAGGGGGTTTGGGTTTAGGGCTCAGGGTTAACCTAGGATGCCCAGTAGTACCCTTATTCCCTTTTTGTAGTCCTAGGTTCCTTATAAAGTTACCCAATACCAAAAAGAGAGGCCTTTTTATTCCTAGTTACTGGGCATCCTAGTATAAGGATTACATACGATTTCCCCCAATGGAGCTTTTGAAGAGGGTTTGTCCATCGACTGTACGGAAATAGAGCACCGAAGCCTCAAACCCCAAACCTCTAAACCGAGCCCTTGACTCGAAGCCCCACACCCACAAAACCCAAAACTCTACTTCGAGGATCATGGGACTTAGTAGCTAGGGTTATAGGTAAGGTAACTATACTCATGATAACTTATAGCCCCAATTAAGGTACTGCCGGCCTTGTATACTTGCTGAGGCCCATGACCTTCCAAGCAGACGGTCAAATCCTAAACCCGAAACCCAATAGATTAGGTATGGACCCTAAACCTTAAGCCCAACAGCTCTTGTAGACTTTGGGAAAAAGGAGCTCAAAAAAAGCCCCAACAGATGAGGTATGGAACTTCCGGAAGATGGAACGCCGTGATTGCTTCGGAAAAAAAAATCCGACCTGGGCTCTCAGGGGGAAAGGGTTCCGGGTGTAGGGTTCTACGGTTGATGATATAAATCCTGCATTACCCATAGTAAGGAATGTACCATAATTCCCATAGTTTAGGGTCCTTAAGGTAATGCAGGATTTCGATCATCAGCCGTATGAGAATTCTTGAATAATTCTGTGAGGGCTTTTCCTTGAAGGGTTCTGTGAGGGCTTTTCAGCCTGCAAAGGTTCTCAGGGGTTGTGCGCCCCGCATTTTGCAGGGGTTCTACAATTGTTCTTCACGTTCCTACGAGGGTCTAGGAGGGTTCAAGAAGGGTTGTATCGGCTTCTATCAGGGTTGTTTCAGGCTTGGAGCAGGGTTCTAACCGTATTTCTTGGGGGTGGTGGGTGGTGGGGATTTCGACCGTTGGGGCTTGGTGGTGCTTAAAGTCCGAAGTTAGGTTTTAGGGCTTCGGGTTTAGAGTTTAAGGTTTCAGACTTCAGCGGTTCAGGCTAACTGTTAAGCCAGCTTGGAGGCGGAACCTGTTTTGGAGCTTTCCTAAACCCTAAACCCGCAAATCCTTAACCCTAATCCCAATAAGCCCTAAGCCCTAAAACCTACACGCTGAAGCCAAAGCCCGAAACCCTAAACCCTAAACCTTAAAACCTAAATCCTGAAACCCTGAACCCTAAACCCTAAACTGTCGTGAAGGTCGGGCAGTGAGAACTAGATCTAAAGGTAACGGAAGAAGCCTGCCCAAAAGGGCTCTCTGGACTTCGGTGCAGAAAAGGGCAACCCTAAACCCTGAACCCTAAACTGTACACCCCTTCTTTCTTGCAGGCCCTGGGCCAGGCCGTGGAAGCTCAGCTCGGCCAGTGTCGGGCCCTTACCTCGAAACGATGCCTTAAGGGCTTAGGGTTTAGGGTGTAAGGGTTCAGGGTTTAAGGGTTTAAGGGTTTAGGGTTTAGGGTTTAAGGCTTAGGGTTTAAGGGTTTAGGGTTTAGGGTTGAGGGTTCCTTTACAATTTACAGGGGTCTATAACGGATTGCAAGGATCCCTAGAAGGAGCTCTGAGGGAAGCCCCTACAGGATCTCTGGGGATTACAGGGGTCCGAGGCTTCGGTTTCGTGAGGTTTGGGGGTGTAAGGGTTGAGGGGGTTTCATAAGGTTTAGGGCTTAGGGTCTAGAGTTTCGTGAGGTCCAGGGTTTCAGGGGTTGGTCGTTTCAGTGTTCGGGTTTGGGTTTCAGGCGTTGTAGGGTTGCGAGTCCCCAAACCTTAATTAAACGCTGGTGTTGGTCTCGGGTTTGAAGTAACAGAAACCACGCCGTTCGCGTGTGGTAAGATTTGGAATTGTTTGCAGCTTCCCCAACTTGCCACAGAGCTTTAAGACAGGGGCCTGAACGGTTAGAACCGGGTTTCCTGGGGTATCAGGGAGCTATAGGGTAAACGGGGATAGTATATAGTATCTACTCTGACCCTTTGATCGCAGTTGGGCGTTTGTGTTGGTTGTCCGTACTTGGAGGTTCATGGGTAGTTATAAGTGGGGTTAGAATTAGGGTAATTAGGGTAACTAAGGTCAAAACCCTTATTAGGGGACCTCTAACCCCATTTATAACTACCCATGAACCTCCAAGTAGACCCTAAACCCTATACCCTTATAGAATCCCTATAGATCCCTCTAAAGGGACCCTTAAAGGAAGCCTTATAACTACCCATGAACCTCCAAGTAGACGATGTGGAGCCGGTCGAGGGGTTCAAGGGGCATCCCGAAGGGTGCGAAGCCCCGAAATACAAAAAGAGGTTTTAGGGGTGTAGGGTTTAGGGGTTTAGGGGTTTGGGGTTTTAGGGGTTCTAGGGGTTTGGGGTTTTAGGGGTTTAGGGTTTAGGGTTTGCGGCTAACCGGCTAACATAGACTCTTTGAGTTTTCATTAAAGTTCAATAGGGGTTCTTCAAGAGGAGTCATGCAAGAGGGGCGTTTGGGAACGCTATAGCCAACCCCAAGCCGTATCCAAGACGTAATTGCGTCTGGAAGCACCTAAAACCCTAAAGCCCCAAACCCTGAAATCTCAAAAGTCGCGGCGGGAGCTTAAAACCCTAGCTTAGGGTTTGAGGTTTGGGTTTAGGGTTCAGGACCGGGCTTAAGATTTGAGGTTTAGGGTTTAAGGTTGAGAGTTGAGGGGTAAATCCCAAAACGCAGCATTTTATGCCCCAACCCCGGAAGGCCGCAAGAGCCCAAACCATGGAACTCCGCAGGCTTGAAGAGTGGCAAGATCCCGGACAGCAAGCTTGTGGAGATGATCGCAGTGCTGAAGGCCTCTTTGGGGGTGCTTTCAGGGTTTTAGGGCTTCAGGGGTTAGGGTTTTTTTTAGAGTTTTGGGCTTGAGGGTTTAGGGGCTTGAGGGCTTTAGGTGTCGGGTTCCGAGACTCCGGGTCAAGTCTGAATTCGTAATGTCATCACTTCTATCAAGCCGAGAGCTGCTGTTGCCTGATTCATCGATTTAGGGTTCAGGGGCCATGTATGCTCTACAAGAATATAACGATTGTCATCAGTTACATAATACATAGGATTCTCCTTGCTATGGCCAGCGCGGCTGTGAGGAGGACTGGGAGTATGACAATCACTTTGCCCCTACATGGCTAGCTACGGTGAGTTATGGTTTTTAGAGGTTAGGGCATGTCTGACTGTGCGACGATGATGACGATGACGAAGATGACGAAGATGACGATGACGACGATGACCACGATGACGGTGACGGTGATGACGATGATGATGATGATGCTGGTGATAATGGGGAGGATTACGAGCCACCTTTGCAAAGAACATACCAGATCTTGTCTACGACTATTGTCTCTTAAGCAGATCGTAAACTCTGAATCGTAAACTCCTTGGGGCCCTAAGCCCTAAACCCTAAACCCCGAACCCTGAAACCTAAACCGTGGTCACTTGGCAGGTCAAAGCCATTGAGACCTCGATCTCGGCATGTTTCAAGCTGAAGCAGGAGCACGGCAGGGAGATAAAGGCAATGATGCATCGAACAACAACAAAGATTCAAGGCAGCAGTATTTCCTTCTTTTTAGCTCTTCCTTGAATAGGATACAAGTTTCGCTTAAACGCTGTTCTGGCAATTTAGGCCCCATATTGCACCAAAATACCTGCGAAGCTCGAGGCACTACTTTTATCTTAGGCTCGAACGGTTGCCCCTTCATGTGAAACACGGTTCTACATGAATTTTTGGGGATGGTCATTGTATTTCTGCCGCGCCGTTTCGGCAAGACTGCTGCTGCGCCCTAAGCCTTGAATCCCATCCGTGAAGCTTGTCTCAACCGCGCCCGTTTCCCAGTCACGTCGGCGGCATCGCGGTCGTCGTGTCGACTTCTCGTTAGCAGTAGTGGTCGCAGTGGCACAACACATATCAACGACAACAACAATCGCTACTTCTACTTCTACTGCTCCTGCTGTTGCTCCTGCTTCCCCTGCGCCTGCCCCTACTCCTACACTGCTACGGCTACTGCTGCCAATACTGCTACTACTACTGCTAGTACTGCTGCCAATACTGCTACTACCACTGCGACTACTGCTGCTACTACTGCTACTACTACTACTACGACGACGACGACTACGACGACTACCACGCACCACTACAATCACTACCATGACTACTACTACTACTACTACTACTACTACTACTACTACGACCACTACTACTACTACTACTACTACTACTACTACTACTACTACTACTACTACTACTACTACTACTACTACTACCACTCCTGCAAATACTACCGCGACCACGACGACTTCTACTACCACGGCTACCACTACTACAAATTCTACCACTACGACGACAACTATTACTACCACTAGGACGACGACTCCTACTATCAGATGACCTTGCCTTCTATATCCTAAAGCCCTGAAGCCGCAAAGCCCTAAAAAGCTCAAAACCCTAATCCCTAAAGCCCTAAACCCTAAAGCTCTGGGTCCTGAAGCCCTAAACCGGAAGCCTAAAAATGCCCCTTCAAAGGCCTGAAGGCATGTAGAACCCTAGGCCTGAAACAGCCTTAGGAAGCCTCAAAGGCATCTAAAAGCCTACGCCGCCCAGGAGCTGGGAAGCTACGCGTTGATGGGCGCTGGCCTCGGCCGGGTTTCTCGTTGCTTCAACGCGAAAGCCGGGCGGTGGAGGGTTTAGGGTTTAGGGTTTAAGGTTCAGGGTTTGGGTTTTTGAGTTTGGGGGTGTAGGGTTTAGGGTTTAGAGGGTTACGGTCGAGGGTTAGAGTTCAAGGTTTATGGTTTTCGGTGTAGGGTTGAGGGTTAGAGTCGAGTTCAAGGTGTAGGGTTTTAGGTTTAGAGATAAGGGTTGGAGTTTAAGGTTTAAGGTTTAGGGTTTGAGGTTGTATCGGGTTTCGGGCTCTTGAGGGCTGTTGACGGATCCTTAGGGCTCTTCAGGATTTCAAAGTCACTTCTCCCCCAAAATAAACGCGATAAAGTCACCTGTTTGTCTTGAACCCAATCTTCAAACCCTGAACGAACCTCCAATTGTTCCGAGGCGGAACCGGTTTCGAGAAGTTGGACTACCTCCAGTGCTGCAAGTTTGCTGAAGGTGGCTCCCTCCTCCGGCCATGCACTTTGTCCAGGGACCCCCCAAACCCAATCAACCTAACTGAACTGTTGAAGGGGTTCTTCATATGATTTTTCAGTTTGACTCTGGGTGCAGTTCCGGGGCTTCGCGGGTTTGCAGTCTGGGCTCAATGGCATAGGAGTCAAGATGAAACTGAGTGGACGGTCAGGGGCGTGGAAACGGTGCTCATTCGTGATCACTGCGAACGAGCACTATTTCACTATGCAGCGCAAAGACTACTTGGCGGAGCAGCCTTTGTGCTGCATTTTGAAGTAGTGCTCCCATACCATGTGCACAGCAAGCGCCAGATCATCTGCTGACGGTATCTGACGATAGGCGACGGCATGCTTGGCGTAGTTATGTCAGGATGCATGCCTCTAAGTCCAGCAAGGACGTCTGGACCTGCCATGCAACTTGGCCCCGTGCAAACGAAGCTTTTAGAACAGAGGGGTTCTGTCAGCACCTCGGCATATAATCGTTCCAAACTTGCATAACACAGACGTTGGAGCAGCGCCCACATTTGGGGTGAACGAGCTTACCTTTGGCTAGTAGGGAATGGAGGAATGGGGTACAATTATATATAACTACTATTGCTACCATTCTTCCATTCCCTACGAACCAAAGGTAAAGCCAGGTGAACCAGGTCGCTACGAAAGATGCAAGGCACATGCGGCACATGCACACACACACACAGTTTAGGTTTCGGGTTTAGGGTTTAGAGTTTAGGGTTTAGGGCGTAGGGTTTTGGGGTTTAGGGTTTCGGGTTTAGGGAGGGTTTAGGGACAGAGAGATGCGCAAGCACAGAATGAAGACGTCTAGCAGGCTATAATCTACGGCCGGCTTGGCTCCGCCAGAGCATCCCCGCTAGCCTTCCGGCTTTCACCCATGAGCTGCATCTTTCAACTTTTTTCTTGCCAAACAAGGGGAAAGAGACTCGTCCCGAGTAGTACAACAGCCGCCGTGAACTGTGTACTCAAATAAGCATAATAGCCGAGCAAGATACCCCCTAAGAACCGGTTCCAACTATTAAAACCCCCTACATTGAGTATTGTAACATAATGTACCCCGAACAAGCAGCTGGTTCTAACTGTTACGACGCCTACATGGGTGGTTGTCTAGGTGCGGCATTGTAACGCTCCGAAGCCTTGTTCACGCGCGCGCGCGCACGCGCGGCAGGACAGAGAAGCGTTCTGTATTGTAAATACCACGACAAACACAATATTTACATTGATTTGCCTGCGTGTGAAAAACCCACGATTCTGCACACAAACGCGTTAAAACTCGAGTCTTGGCCTCGGAACAGCTGCCAACAAGAGTGTTTTGAAGCTATGAAGATGCCAACATACTGAATTTTGTGTGTTGTGTTCATAGACTGAACTCCATGAGGAAGTATCAAAAACTCGAGGAATTTGCGCGTTCGACGACGGTAGAACAACAAGAAATCAACGGAATTGCAAAACAGCTGAATTTTGGAGGAGCATTTCGCCTCGTAAAAACCAGGTCGCGGAGGCCCTTGAGCACGTGATGAGGTCACATATGTGCAGTGAACCCTCAAAAACTCGAGGAATTTGTCAGTTTTGCATGATTCGAAGTGCACTGCAGCAGGCACACGAGTGGAAGTTTTCACTCAGATACGCGGACGCAATTTCAATAATTTTAGCAGTTTCTTGATTTGAAGTTTTTGTGATACTTACGAAAATCGTGGCAGGCGTGGCATTTGGTGACTTCAACGTGTTTTTAGCATTTTTCGATTTTATTTTTATTGTTTTGGTGGTTTTCAGTTCTTGTGGAAACTTTGTAACCGCGTGACAGCAGTGGGACGCGTTTTATGGAAACTTTGGACTGCGTGACAGCAGTGGGACGCATTTTGTGGAAACTTTTGACCACGTGACAGCAGTCGGACGCGTTCGTAAGTCCTATAAACCCTAAATACTAAACCCTGAACCCCAGACCAGCAAACGCTCAGCCCTAAACCTTAAATCCCTAAAGCCTAAACCTTAGCGCCCTAAACCCTAAAACCCTACACCCCTCCCGCCTACACCATAAACCCCTAAACCCTAAACCTTTAATCCCTAAAGCCCTAAACCCTAAACCCAAGTTTGGCTGTAGCAGCAGTAGCAGTAGCAGTATCAATAGCGGTAGCAGCAGCAGAAGCAAGAGGAGCACGAGCAGCAAGCGTAGTAATCCTGTAAGCGTAGTAATCGGATGTAGTGCTAGTAGCCGTCGCACTAGCAGCTGTAGCAGCAGCAGAAGCACCAGAAACAACAGTACTAGTAGTAGTAGTAGTAGTAGTAGTAGTAGTAGTAGTAGTAGTAGTAGTAGTAGTAGCAGCAGCAGCAGTAGTAGTAGTAGGAGTCGTAAAGTTGTAGCCGGCGACCTGACGGAAATAGCCCCTTCCCCCCACCCCCCCACCCCAACCCCTCGAAGTCACAAAACCCTGCGCGTACCGGCAAATCCGAAGACCGAAAATGCAAAACCTTGTAAAAACCGAGGTGAAAGGCTTCTAAAACATGCTCCAAAAAGCGCGTGAAGAGGGCTTCGGAAGGTATAATAAGGACCCAAAAAGGGACCCTAGTTTTGACAACTTCCCACATGCATCCCTAAGCCCGATGCATCCCTAAGCCCGAAGCCTTGGCTGCTTCCGTTTGTCAGGCGACAGCCGGATCCTCATGCAGAAGCTGACTCGAGATCGTCTCCAGGACGGCCTGGGCCAGGTTGCTTTTTCTTGGATAGAAAAAATATATCTTACAACTTACGTGAGTTTTCACAGAACTGGTTCACCAGTTGTGTGTGTGTGTGTGTGTGTGTGTGTGTTTGTCTTTTGGTATACTTGTCTTTGTGGTTAGCTTGTTGTTTCTTCACCACCGCTGCGAATCGTTCATCTTAAGCATTACAGGGTCGCGCGTTACACTGTACTATGGCATGTGTGCATATGTACATATGCCAAAGACCTCAGAACTTAGGCCATTGACTCGAACACCCTAAACCCGCCTGAGGCACCTTAAACCCTAAACCCTCGCTTTCCCCAACATCCCTGAAAGCACACATGCTTCAAGTGCCGTTAGCCCCAAGCCCTTAGCTCCAACCCTTCAACGCCAACGAAAATCAGCAGCAGTACGAGACTCTAGGGCAAAACAAGACAAAGCACTTGCATGACCCCGCCCCCCCCTCCCCCCCCCCCCCTCAGCCTTGACATACCCCAAACCCCAGACCCGAAATCCGAAACCTTAAGCCCCCAAGCCCTCCCCCAAGCCGAAATCCTGAACCTAAACCCTAAGCCGCAACCCAAAATCCCTCCGAATTCCCTCAACCTGAGTTCCTGCCCAGAGGCCTTCGCTAAGTCGCCCTCCGGCAAGGGAAAGGAAGCAGAGGTGGGCCCTGAGCTCGCTTACTCGTTTGAAGTTTGAGGTTTGGGTTTCAAACGTTTAGGGTTTGGGGGTTTTGGGTTTAGGGGTTTAGGATTTAGTGTTTAGCGTTTAGGAGTATAGGGGTGTAGGGTTTAGGGTTTAGGGGTCTGGAGCCTCGGGGTTTGGGAGTTGTGAACATGGCTTTTCATGCGGCGTAGATATGTTTCCCCTCGCGGGTTTGTAAATTTCGTTTCGGCTTTTGCTTTTTGGGCAAGGTTGCGTATGAACTTTATTTAAGGGCGTTCATAAAAGTTAGGGGCTTCAGGGTTGAGAGTTGAAGGCTTTTCACGCTAGTTGCGGGTTTATGTTTCAGGTTGATGAGGGTTCCAAGGTTCAGGATGTGCTGAGGTCGTGGGGAGTTCCTTGCAAGAGTTCCGATGCTTCCCCAAGTCTGGATTCCGATGTTATCCCAAACCTACATGTCCGTCCAGGTCCACGGGATAAGGGCCGGGGGTGGTCCGAAGAGGCTGACTGAACGGCGTGAACATGTTGGAAGGAAAAGCTCTGCTTTCAGGTCTGGCATGAACAATTTTGGGAATATTGCATTGTATCTATAACAAATTGTGATAAAGATAATATTAGAGTTGAAAAAAGACTCGATAAAACAATGTCTCATAAGACGTGAATCTATACACCCATGGAGCATACGGGATTCATCCTGCGGTCAGTTTTGAGCCTAGACTACTTCTGCCTCCTCCTGCATCCTCAAGTATGCGGGAAGCAGAAATGCTGGCGACAAAAACTAATGGTAGAACCATGCAAAGCCCGACCAACCCTCGTCAAAACACAACAAAGCGCAATAATCGAAGCCCCCCAAAAACCTGCGGCAACCCCTACAACACCAAGAACACTTCAAATCCTTTTGACCCGATAAAAAGCCACAAGGCGAAGAATAAGAAAATCCTACAGGCCCCGCTCCTGCCTCACGCTCTAAACCCTAGATTGTAAGCCCCAGCGCCCTAACGCCCCAAGCCCTAAGCCTTGTGCATCCCTAAAGCCCTAAATCTTGAATCCCTCAACCCTACAGCCTATGAAACCCCAAGCTTACATGCGCACATTGCGCGAGCCCATGAGCTCCATGGAGCGGAACGACTTTCGCAAGAGCATGTTGCGATCTGTCAACGAGACTGTTCTGAACAGGCTATCGCCCAGCTGCATGCCTACCCACGCTAGCAGAGGCATAGCGATGGGTATCGTGATAGGCGACACGAAGTTCTCTGTGGACAGCAATGGCGACGCACTGTGCTGGAAGCACGACGAAGAGCTGTCAGAGGCAGCGCAAGAGCTGGCAAGTCGCACTGCATTCGTCTCGAACACGCCGAATATCTGCGTGTATCGTGCCGATGCTGCACAGTACAGCCCTAAATTCCTAAAACCTCAGCCCGATCAAACCCCTGAAGGCCTAAAAGCCACAGAGCCCCAAAGCCGGAGAGTTCTAAAGCCTCTCGCTCAGGAACCCTGTAGTACCCTGTATTAAAGGGGAACACCATTATAGAGCCCTCATGGATCCCTTAAACGGAACCCCTGTATTATTGAACCCTGTAGTACCCTTTAAAGGAATCTTCTTATAGACCCTTATAGTACCCCTTAAAGGGGAACCCTCTTATCGAACCCTAAAGGATCCCTGAACCGGAACCCTACACACTAAACCCTAAATCCTGAAGGATCCCTTAAGAGGAAGCCTACACACTAAACCCTAAATCCTGAAGGATCCCTGAACACACTAAACCCTAAAACCCTAAATCCTGAAGGATCCCTTAAGAGGAGCCCTTGCCCCCAGCGGAGGCTTGCATGAAGCTTGGCATGAGCCTGAAGAAAGGCGGCAAAGCCGCCTGGAACGAGAACTTCGAGCTGGCTGGGGGGCCTGGATTAGTCTAAGGCTTCTATAAGAGCACTTTAAGGGGTTTCCTACAGTTCCTATAACCTACTGGCTTTGCGGTTGGGGGGCCTGGCTTTGCGATATGGAGTTTCCGAAAATTAAAAGTACCGTATTTTGGGGTCCTTATGATAAGGATCCTATTATTTGGGGTAGTATATTAGTGTCCCCTATTTTCGGAAACTCCCGTATCGTGTTTACCAAGACCAATGTAGTTTGCTGTCGGTACCAGTGTGTTGTTATTGTCGTTGTTGTTTCTTTCGTTCCTGGGCTGTTATTTGCTACTTGCTATTCCCTTTTGTATCTACTAGGTTCTATTCACCTCTTGTCATTTACTGTCTAATGTTTGTTCTGATTCCACTGATATGGGTACTGTGTACAGATTACTGTTTAGTTGTGAGTTCTTTGGTATTTGGTGTAGTTTGCTAGCGTTTGTTACCAGCCAGCATTAATACTTATCAGGTGTCATTCATTCCCATTGTTTGTTAGCTGTTCTGTGCTAGTGTTTTGGAGCTATCTAGGTTGGGTTGCCATCATGACTTTCCCTTTATGATTATGTGTTTGTTCTTCGCAAAAGGTTCGATGCTGTTTACCTCCTGTGAGTGGAAACCTGACTTTTTTGATGGCCACTGCTTCGACCCTTGCTATGGTTTTTGTTCGTTTCACATGCTTAGTATTCAGGTCATAATGTTTGGTTTTGAAATTGATTTCTTTGGTCCTTTGGTTTTCCTGCACACAGAGAGAGAGAGAGAGAGAGAGAGAGAGAGAGAGAGAGAGAGAGAGAGAGAGAGAGAGAGAGAGAGAGAGAGAGAGAGAGAGAGAGAGAGAGAGAGAGAGAGAGAGAGAGAGAGAGAGAGAGAGTGAGAGAGTGAGAGAGAGAGAGAGAGGTTGTGTGTGTGGTTGCGTGCGTATGTGTGTGTGTGTGTTAACTGCTGGAGCTTTTGGGTTGTTGATGAGCAGCTGTCTTAGTGTGCCATCAAGCTTATGGCTTAAGGGTTTCGGGTTTGGTGCTGCGTGCGCAATGTCTAGCCTACTAAAGTTACAGAACCTATTTCCTGTTGGAGGAGTTCCGCATTGATTCCCCGAGTGAACGCTATGCTTCACCTACGGATGCATACATCCCTAAACCCTAAACCCCTAACCCCTTGTATACAACAGAGGTTATACGTTTGCGCTGCTATACATGTTGTGGAACTCATGGTGCTGGTCCTGCTCGTATACCTTGGGATATACAGGTCTCAGATTTTGGGGTTTCTCCAAACCCGAAAACTTTGCCCTAAACCCTAAAACCCCAAACCCTAAACCTTCTGGGCAGACGGAAAAGAGGGTTCAAAAGAAAAAAAACTTTAAACCCTAAACAGTAGCCCTCCTGGTCCCTTTGCCCCCCCCCCCCCCACCGACCCTACTAGAGTACTGTTTTGGGGGCTCCTTGTTTTAATGATAGTATAATGGTCCCCAAAACCCGATTCCCATATCGAAGTACCCTTACAGATCCCTTATAGACCCCTTTCAGGATCCCCTTTAAAGGAGCCCTCTAAGGCCCCTCTATCATAGTACCGGTATAGATCCAATATAGCAAGCCTTATAGATCCCTCATAGTAAGCCTTATAGATCCTTTAAAAGGAACCCTAAACCCTAAACCCTAAACCCTATCTTTGCCCCCCCCCCCCGGCGCGCCGAGCCTAGGTCTACGGCCTCGCCGACATGGTCATGGAGCGCACCATCGACGAGGCCCGGGTTTCTTATGAAGGCTTCTAAAGGTTTGGGGGTTTGGGGTTTTGGCTTTAGGGTTTAGGGTTTCTTATGAAGGCTTCTAAAGGTTTGGGTTTAGGCTTTAGGGTTTAGGGTTTAGGGTTTCTTATGAAGGCTTCTAAAGGTTTGGGGTTTAGGCTTTAGGGTTTAGGGTTTAGGGTTTCTTATGAAGGCTTCTAAAGGTTTGGGGTTTAGGCTTTAGAGTTTAGGGCTTCTTATGAAGGCTTCTAAAGGTTTGGGGTTTGGGCTTTATGGTTTAGGGTGTCTTGAAGGTCCAAAAGGTTTAGGGTCTAGGGTTTGCATGAAAGGTCTAAAGGGTCTCTGCAAAGGGTTCTTAAGGGTTTCCACAAGCGGTTCTGTGTGAAGGTTTTATAGGGTTTCCGTAAGGGATTACGAAAAGCGTTTCCGCAAAGGTTCTTGTGGGGCTTGAGGCTTGTAGGTTTGGGGAACTTAGGGTTTTCGGTTTCGGAGGTTGGTGCTTAAGGTTTAGTGCTTTAAGCTTGTGTAAGGGTTCTACAGAGATGCTATTGGGGCCCTGTATGGCTTCGTTAAGTCTTCCCTTTTGGGTCATAGGGTTCCTACTATCAGGGCTCTGGGTTCGGGGCTTTAGGGCTGTTGGGTTGAAGGTTTGGGGTTGAGGGTTCAAGATCAGAGCCCAGTGCATGAACAAAATACACAAGGTTTGGGTCTTGGGATGGTCTTCAGTGTGGACCGTTCGAAGTTAAGGAAGGAAAGCCTTACTGACGCTGTGTTCCTGATGTTCGTGCCGTTGTTCTGCACCTTGTCATTTCCTCAGTCGTCTTGACTCCTTGTGATTCTTGCTGCGGTCGTAATGCTTAGTCTCCGAAACCCTGGACCCTCAACTCCGTTTTCTGTTGTCTTCAGCTGTCGTCAGCAGCGTCCTCGTCGCTGGTGTCTTCGTAGGTATTTGGGTGGTAGGTATCGTTGGCGTTTTGGTAGTCGTTGCAGTCTCTGCGTGTTGCTAATATACAGCGGGGAATAAAGGGGCCTTGATGATTGGAGCAGGGTTTTGGGGGTATAGTGTAGTGCAGTTACATAGGGACTACAAGGGGATACAATTACTAGCTATTCCCACTCCTGTGTCATTGCAATGATTCATTCATATGATCGAGACGGTTGTGCTCCACATTTTCTCCTTATTCTTTTGTGTTTTTTCGTGATTTTTCAGAGCTCATGATGGGAAGGGTGATGACGATCACCGTGGTGATGCTGATGGCGAGTGGCGGGTGGTGATGATGATTATGTGCGAGAGATGCCCCTAATTTCCTACCCAGCTGCCTGAGCCTTCTCAGCATCATCCCAAGGTTCTCGTACGACGATTCTGGGACTTATCACAACCTCATGTACTACAACCTAAATCCCATCCTCTTACTATGGTTTCCTTGAGCCCTAAACCCTAAAACCCTAAACCCTAAACCCTAAACCCTTAACCCCAAAGCCCTAAACCCTACTGCCCTAAAATATGAGTAGTCGTACTCGCGGTGTCATTCCATCACCTCCTCTGAGCCCGGCACAACGAAAGAGGCCAAGGCCGAACGCCGCGACGAACCGAAGTTTCATGAACTAAAGAAACCCTAAACGCAAAACCCTAAACCCTCAAAAGGCCCACTGCACTTAAAAAACCGTAAACCGTAAACTCCAAACCCACAGCACTAGATTTTAAACCCTGAACCCCGAACCCTGAAGCCTAAGCCCTAATCCCCAAACCATAAGCACTAGACCTTGCAGGTGACCGGGGCTCGATCCAGCTTGTGATGCGACGGCTTCGGGTCTTGTCGTCCCTGTCGGGTCTCGGGTGCAGGGTTGCGGCTTTAGGGGTTTCGGGTTTAGGTTTAGGGGTTCAGGGGTTTGCGCTCTAGGGGTTGAGGGTTTAGGCTCTAGGTTTTTGGGGCTTAGGGTTTGGGGGTTTAGGGTTTATGGGTTCAGGCTTTAGGGTTTAGGCTTTAGGGTTTAGGGGTTTAGGGTTTGGGAGTTTGAGGTTTAGGGTTTGAGTCCGGTTAAGGGTGGGTTCTTCGAGTGGCAGTCAATACTAGCACGTCTCAGGCCTTCATAACGGGTGGCCGTTGTCTTTCAAGATCTGTCAGTGGCACTGGCAATTTAAGGTCGTTGTTTTACGCTTCGGATTGATGATTCTGTGGTGGTAGTAGTAGTCGCACCAGTAGTCGTCGTAGTCGTAGGTAGCAGTAGCATCAGCAGCATTGCCAGTGTTTGTTGTTGTCTTAGAACAAGTAGGACTTTTTCAGAACACTTACCTGGAGGGCACCTTGCATACATGAATGTAGCAGCATAGAGAACAAACAAGGCCACAGGACTAGCTAGTTTCTCATCATGCATCACAGGAGGGCGAGGGAATCATGGAGTTGAGATGTAGGGGTGCGTTTGGTGCCCTGGAAAGTCCCTTAGCCGAAGTCAGCTGCTCCGCTTTTGCGACTGTCCTGCGGCAGTTGCGTTGTGCAGTGTCCAGTTTTAACACCTGTCGACCTGCGCAGTACAGGGGGGCCAGAAGCAGCATCCCCTTGAATGCTTTCACGTCGTTGCGCGGCGTGATGTTTGAGGCTTTACTTGTCTCGACCAGGTTGTATTGCGAGGGTGCTTTGGACGTGGGTCGGCCTTGTGGCCTTTGAGCCCGCGAAAACCTGCACAACATTTTGCTCCTCACGTCCGCAGCACTGGCTCTTTGAATCCAGCATGCTCACGTGTCATTGACGAGCGACTGCGGTTGAGACAAAAATCTGCGACGGCTTCCCTAAACTAAGCCCTAAATCCTAAACCCTGAGCACGCTGCAATTAGCACAAAAAGCCCAAGCTCGGAGCTGCTACGAATCACAACGGTTAAGGAGTTAGGCTTTAGGCTTTAGCATGCGGGGTGCAAAACCTGCACACTAAAGCCCTCCTCCTTTTCACTGCTTCGAGGTTCAGGGGAGATAATACGTAGGTTATAAGTAGAGTGTTTTTCGTACCTTAGTTGGGTCATCGTACTTAGAACTCTACTTATCGCCAGCTTGCTGCTCCCCCTGAGCCTCTAAGTACCTCAAACCCTAAACCCTAAACCCTAAACCCCTAACCCCTAAACCCCTAAACCCCTAAACCCCTAAACCCTAAACCGCAATAGGTATGGATCCGAAGCCCTGATCCCTAAGCTAACTAAGCAAACCTCAGCCCAAGCCCCGAACCCCTAAACCCTCGGAAATCCTCAAGCACTCAATGGTCACGGTTTAGGGTTTAGGGCGAGGCTCAAGACTGGAAGAACCCCTGGCCCGAAACCTCGAACCTCCACGACACATTCACAGGCTTTTAGAGAGTAGCCTTATATACGTGTATATTCGTGTTAACTGTACGTGTATGTACACATACAGAAAAACAAATGAATGAACAAATGTTGAAGTGTATACATATGTATATATATATATACCCATACATCCACATATAGAGTACCATTTGCTACACACACACACACACACATGCATAGGCAGATATATGTACACTTGCACACGTGAATATGGAGTATCAACCTACCTATCTATCCGTCTGTTTGTCTGTCGCTCTATCGACCTATCTGATAATCTATCCATCTATCTATCTATCCATCTATCTATCATCCTATCCATTGGTCTATGCGTCACGATTTATCGGTCGACCTATCTATCCATCTATCTGTCAAGCTTTCTACCTACCCATCCATCTATCTATCTTCCTATCTATCTGTCTATCTACTTGGCTATCCGTTTGTCTATCGATCTATCTATCTATTTATCCATCCATCTATCTATTTGTCTATTTGCCACTATCTATCTAACTATCTATGTGTTTGTCTATCCCTCACCAAGGCCCAATACCACGCCGAGCCGCACTCGCGAGAAGCCGAATGCTCGGTTTGCGTCGGATTTGTTTTTGCGGTTCCACGGCAGGGGCGCTCCTTTCAAGGAACCCCTATAGATCCCTTAAGCCTTAGCCTTAAAGGACTCCCTTTAAAGGGACCCCTATAGATCCCTTAGCCTTAAAGAACCCCGATCCCTTAGCCCTCAGCCTTGAAGGAACCCTTAAAGGAACCCTCAAAGGAGCCCATCGATCCCTTAAAGGGCTCTGAAAAGGGGCTTAGAAGGGTTACTATAGGGGGCTACCAGAAGGGCTCGGCAAAAGGGTTCTGTAAGGCTTTTAGGCTTTTCTTACAAGGGTTTACTGGGGTGAAAGCAATGGAAGTGGCAGTAGCAGGAGGACGGACGTTAGCTTCCTTGTATGTTTGGGGGTGGTGGTGGCTGTGGTCGTCGTCGTCATCGTGTCATCGTCCTCGTCCCCGTCGTCGTCGTCGTCGCATAGTGCTGGTAGTGGTACCGGCAGTCGCAGTGGCATAGTGCAGAAGGGGTGATGATTGTGGTGGTAGTAGGAGCGGATCGCAACAGCCAAGCTCTGGGATCAGCCGGGTGGCTTTGTACCTTTTGGAAAAGTCAGTAGGGAGTGTTCAGGCCGGGCTCCGAAGGAAGTCAGGGTTTAGGATTCCAAAACAAGCGGCTTGAAGAAGCCTTTCTGAAAGAAGGGCAGTATGTGCTCTCAGCTCGGACCCCGTGATACCCTGCACCTCTACTCAGACACTCATCCTTGGAACAGTAGTCAGGCTAGTATGGGGGTCTTAGAACTTAGAGAACGGTATTTTGAATCAGGAACTCGCAAACCCCAAATGCTCCCGGCCTGAGGAAGAATGAGATGGGCAAGGTGACCACCACGGGCCTGGCTCCGCGCCGAGAGGGGTTTGGCCTCCGTGGGCTTCAGCAAGAGTACTATAGGGGCCTTAATCATTACCTATACTCTTTTGGGGGTTCCTTCATCATTATGGTATAGTGGGTCCCGAAATCCGAATCTAATTCTAAAGGCCCTAGAGTAGTTGCATCTGGTAGCGATTGAAGGTTTTTGCGAGGGGTGATGCTGCTATGCTCTCAACCTAGGTGACTGTAGTTGCGGCAAGGACTGCATCACTTTTACTCTTAAGGCCTCGAGCGATGCCATTACTCAAAGGGGAAAAGGAGGGATCCTTAATGGGGACCCCTACCCTGTAACGGGCTATATAACGGGTATATAATGGCTATATTAAGGGTATATACTTAGGGGTCCTTATTAAGGGTCCCTCCTTTTACCCTTGGAATTACTGTTGAGGTCGCTTCGGTTTCGAGTCGTAGGGTGGTGCGTTTCAGCTCTGGGCCTGCGTGGTCAAGCTTAGGCCGAGCTTATCGCCGTGAGATTCAGAGCAACCTCAGCCCCTCGGGCCCCCACGAACCCTAAACCCTAAAACAAAGCCTAAACCCTAAACCTAAATTCTAAAACCTATACCCTAAACCCTGAATCCTAAATCCTCAACCCTAAACCCTATACCCTAAACCCCCGGGCCCCCACGAGGTTAGGGCGGTCGAGTGCGACAAGAAGTTTCAGGCCATACTTCTAGAGAAATGGCGGAGGCTCGCCGTCACGAGGGTATGGAGAGTGGCAAGTCAGGCTTGGGGTTTAGGGGTGAGGTTCTGGGTTTGGGGTTGTCTAAGTCGGCCCATGAAAGTTGAATGTACCTCACGAAAATCAGCGAGGGCTGGGGTGTAGCGTCGTCCATCTGCTAAGCCAGTAGCCATATCTAAATAAGGTGTGCTGAGGCGGTATCCTAGTATCACTGGCATCGTCGGCAGAAGTCGTCTTCTTGTTCATCATCATGGCCTTCACCATCATCGCCATGACGTTCATCACCATCTTCAGTTTCCTCCTGGCCGTCACCGCTATCATCAATGCCAATGTGTTGATCATTATCATTTTGGGCTGTCGTGTATCATCCAGTCATTTGTTCATGCCATCATTCAGTCGACCAGCCAATCAACAGATCACCACCATGGACCCCTACCCTATGATGGGCTATATAATGGGTATATACTAGCTATACGAAAGGTATATACATAGGGGTCCTTATATCATCGTCATCGTCATCATCGGCGGATCCACTACCACCAGGCTTTTCGGCGTCTGCAGGAACTCTGGGCAAAGCAACCCTTGGCCCGAAGCAACCGGAGACTGATACCTTGGACTACCAGAAACTCCAAGCCCTAAACCCTGGCTTAACTTTAAACCGTAGCACCCCAAACCCTAAACCCTAGAACCGCAAACCCTAAACCCTAGCACCCCAAACCCTAAGCCCTAGAACCGCAAACCCTAAACCCTAGACCCTAAACCTCAAAGAGCCAGAAATGTTCTCGCAAGCCTAGACTGCAGGGGAGGAAGCTAAAGCGATCCAATCGTCGTAGGCTCCTCCTCCTCTAGCTCCTGGACCCTGCGCCCTCCAGTATAGAGTCGAAATAAATAGTAAGCTCATCCCACGTATAGTTACCATAAGACAAGGACAAGATAGACCCCTCAGAATCCGATTTCAATTATGAGGGCCCTCTGAACCCAAAAACCATTTGTGTGCAGGGAAACGGACCTGGATACGATCGCAGAACGAATTCACCGCCGACAAGTTTGTCAGTGCGCCACGCTATTTGGAAACAGCGAACCCTTATTGTTAAAAGGCTTAAGAATCTGGATTTTGAACAGTGGGTTCAGGCTTTTAGGGCTTGTGTTTCCTTTTGAGATTCGGCAGCTTAAGAGCCACTTATAACTGTGCACGTTTGCTCAAAGGACCATGGGCAGGATCCCAATCGGAACGGCCTCGGCTTTACACGACGACGACGACGACCATGACTACTGCTAGTACTCCCGCAGTTGCTGCTGCCACCACCATACGACCACACCACCGCTGCCACCGCTCCCACCACTGCCACGACTGCCGCGACTGCCACCACTGCCGCACTGCCTGCCGCTGCCACTTCCACCACTTTCCATGAACACTCTGATATCGGGGTCACGGGTTCTGTAGGGCTCCCGCAAAAGGGCCTATAAGGGATCTACGAGGGCTTTGTCAGGCTGCTTCTCCTTGTTAGCCTTCTTCTGGCCCCTACCTTGGGCCGAACCTATTGGTCAGCGTTCGAAAAGATATGGGCGTTTCCGAAAATAGGTGACCCTAATATAGTACCCTACATAGTAGGATGCTCATTATGAGGACCCCAGAAGAAGGTACCCCTAATTTTCGGAAACTCCGTGGCTGTTCACGTCGTCGGGAGTCCTCGCCCTTCCTTTAGGAGCGCCATCCTTGCGAACCGGAGACTTCAAGGGTAAGAGGAGGGACCCTTAATAAGGACCCCTAGGCATATATCCTTGTCCTAGCTATTATATACCCATTATATAGCCCATTATAGGGTAGGGGTCCCCATTAAGGGTCCCTCCTTTGCCCCTTTGAAAGACCCCACACCAGCGCCAGGTTCTTCGACTTCTTAAAGAACAAGGAGGGCGACATGAACACGGAGAGTGCGGCGGTCGCTTACATTGAAGAGGCTGGCCCGTTTTTAAATGTTCTTGGTGGTTTACGGTGTAGGGCCGGTTTAGAGTTTAGTTTTTTTTTTTCGGGGTCTTGGGGTTCAGGGTAGGGTTTAGGGTTACGGGTTAAGGGATGGGTAAGGGTCCAGGGTTTATTACCACGATCTTTGTGCAACTACCATGTCCGACGGGCGAACGTTGAAATTACCTGGTTGTGTGTTTCGGGTACGATTGAGACAGGTTCTTTTCGGTTGCTGGACTGCAAACATAAGATCAGCAGTGTCACTGCTGCTGCCGATTATCGCTCTTGTTCTTATCATGAAGGTGTCCCTCCCAGGAAAGCCTTTTGCAATTTTTTAGGTTTGCGACTCATTAGCACGCATTGGCATCTTCACGTATCTCATGTATCCTCTTCAGAATGATGGGCCTCTGATTGTTGTGACCATTGATGCCCGGACTGTGGCGGAGCGCGATTTTCGACTTTGGAAATGCACGTGGCTACCCCAAAATTCGCACGACACTCTGGCGACAGCCAGATCTCGGAAGGCGGAAATGCAAGGCCAAAATCTGCGGTGGGAGCACGATTACCATCCCAAACTGCCCCAAATACACACGGCTCTGTGGCGGCAGCACGACCGATCAAGTTCAGGGATTCAGCACCACTTGTTGGATTCTTCATTGAGTTCGGCCTCGGGAACGTGGCTGCGTGTGCCTGCCTCGTGTGCCGGCCGCTTTGACAGTAGCGCAATCTCCTTGCTCTGAACGGAAAACCCCGTGGTGCTAACTCCCGCAACGCTTCAGGAGCCAGCATCAGTGTTGTCATTGTCATGGCCGTCTCAATGTTATCCTCCTTGTACTTTTAGTAGTTGAACCGAAGCCCCTCGTCTTCGTCGTGACATCCGCCTCACACAAGCAGCAGAAACATAGGCGCATCTGCGTATGATACTGCTTGACATATTCTGATTAATCTTGCAGTTTTTCCTAGGGCAATCGAGCAGGCAAGTCGTGTTTGCAATTCTAGAGGAATTTGGCGGTAGACTATACCGTAAATCCTAAACCCTTAACCCCTAGATGAAGAACTCCCACTTATAGGGGTTTCGAACCCGTGTGTGGGGATTCTGTACGCCGCAATCCCAAATGTGGGTCTGGTACCATCCGGGCACATGAGCAGCTAGACGAGGGATTCAGAACAAGGTGCCTTGTGAGGTCAAGCCTAAACCCTGATCTCTGAACTTTAAGCCCGAAACCACAAACCCTAAACCTTATACCCCAAGCCCTAAACCCTGAGCCTTGAAAACCCATAATGCTAAACCCCAAAACCCTCAACTCTAAACCCTAAGCCCTATAAACCCTAAACCCCAAGCATCCCCATCTCTAAAGCCTAAGCCCTAAACCCTAAACCCCAAGGCCCTAAACTCTAAACCCTCAGCCCTAAACCCTGAACCCAAGCCTCTAAACCCTAAACTGCCTAAACCCTAAACCCCAATCATCTCCCACTCCAAAGCCTAAGCCCTAAACCCTGAACCCAAGCCTGAGAAGCTGCAGGGCTTCGCCGACCCTGAGTTCATCGAGGCTGCACAGAAGCGGGCTTTAGCTTTCAAGTCGTGGGGTTACTTACCGTTGTAATGGGATCTATAGGGCTCCTTAAAGGGATCTATAGGGGCTCCTTAAAGGGATCTATAGGGGTAGTCTTACCTTTGGTTAGTAGGGAATGGAAGAATGGTAGTAGTAGTAGTAATTATAATTGTACCCCATTCCTCCATTCCCTACTAACCAAAGGTAAGGTTAGGGCTTGGAAGTGCTTCAAAGTTAAGGGTCTTGAAGTTTCAGGTTTGAGGGTTTCAGGTTGTTAGGGTCTTTTAGGTTTCCGTGCTTGGCGGTTTTTTGTGTTAGGGCTTCAGGGTATCAGGGTTTAGGGGTTTCGGGGTTTCGGGGTTCAATCAGGGTTTAGAGCGTTTCCATCGTTTTGCTGCCTTTCCGTCGTTTTCATAGACTTGTTTCTTTGTCCCTTGTGCTCGCCTACGAGGAGTTTTCGATTAGCGAAGAGTTCCCCGATGCTGTTTCCCAGTCATTTCGATTGAGATGCTGGATCCGGGTCATGTCACCCCGAACCCTAAATGGGAGTTTCCGAAAATAGGGGACCCTAATTTTGTACCCCAAATAGTAGGATCCTTATTATAAGGGCCCCAAGATAAGGTACCCCTAATTTTCGGAAACTCCAAAATCCTTCAACCTACCGAAGAGCCTTTTGAGGCCCCAGCTGCACTCGCGAAGCGTGTAACTGTGTATATGCTGCAAGGGCCTTAATAATTACCTATACTTTTTTGGGGGTTCCGTATTATAACGATTGTATAACATACCCCCAAAGACCCTATTCTTATTATTATGGCCCCGGTACCGCGAAACCCTAAACCCTAAACCCTAAACCCTAAACCCTAAACCCTAAACCCTACACCCTAAACCCTAAACCCTAAACCAGAACTGAGAGCCCGCTTTGGAAAGTGACTCACAAGCCTCGTGCCCTCAACATAAGAGGCCCCATTCCTTACCTTTGGTTAGTAGGGAATGGAAGAATGGTAGTAATGGGCTCCTTTAAAGGGATCTATAGGGTTTAGGGATCTATAGGGTTTAGGGTTTAGGGGTTCAGGGCTTACCTTTGGTTAGTAGGGAATGGAAGAATGGTAGTAGTAGTAATTATAATTGTACCCCATTCCTCCATTCCCTACTAACCAAAGGTAAGATTCAAGTTCCTTGCGGAGGGCCTTTAGTCTTACCTTTGGTTAGTAGGGAATGGAAGAATGGTAGTAGTAGTAATTATAATTGTACCCCATTCCTCCATTCCCTACTAACCAAAGGTAAGATTCAAGTTCCTTGCGGAGGGCCTTTAGTCTTACCTTTGGTTAGTAGGGAATGGAAGAATGGTAGTAGTAGTAATTATAATTGTACCCCATTCCTCCATTCCCTACTAACCAAAGGTAAGATTCAAGTTCCTTGCGGAGGGCCTTTAGTCTTACCTTTGGTTAGTAGGGAATGGAAGAATGGTAGTAGTAGTAATTATAATTGTACCCCATTCCTCCATTCCCTACTAACCAAAGGTAAGATTCAAGTTCCTTGCGGAGGGCCTTTAGTCTTACCTTTGGTTAGTAGGGAATGGAAGAATGGTAGTAGTAGTAATTATAATTGTACCCCATTCCTCCATTCCCTACTAACCAAAGGTAAGATTCAAGTTCCTTGCGGAGGGCCTTTAGTCTTACCTTTGGTTAGTAGGGAATGGAAGAATGGTAGTAGTAGTAATTATAATTGTACCCCATTCCTCCATTCCCTACTAACCAAAGGTAAGATTCAAGTTCCTTGCGGAGGGCCTTTAGTCTTACCTTTGGTTAGTAGGGAATGGAAGAATGGTAGTAGTAGTAATTATAATTGTACCCCATTCCTCCATTCCCTACTAACCAAAGGTAAGATTCAAGTTCCTTGCGGAGGGCCTTTAGTCTTACCTTTGGTTAGTAGGGAATGGAAGAATGGTAGTAGTAGTAATTATAATTGTACCCCATTCCTCCATTCCCTACTAACCAAAGGTAAGATTCAAGTTCCTTGCGGAGGGCCTTTAGTCTTACCTTTGGTTAGTAGGGAATGGAAGAATGGTAGTAGTAGTAATTATAATTGTACCCCATTCCTCCATTCCCTACTAACCAAAGGTAAGATTCAAGTTCCTTGCGGAGGGCCTTTAGTCTTACCTTTGGTTAGTAGGGAATGGAAGAATGGTAGTAGTAGTAATTATAATTGTACCCCATTCCTCCATTCCCTACTAACCAAAGGTAAGATTCAAGTTCCTTGCGGAGGGCCTTTAGTCTTACCTTTGGTTAGTAGGGAATGGAAGAATGGTAGTAGTAGTAATTATAATTGTACCCCATTCCTCCATTCCCTACTAACCAAAGGTAAGATTCAAGTTCCTTGCGGAGGGCCTTTAGTCTTACCTTTGGTTAGTAGGGAATGGAAGAATGGTAGTAGTAGTAATTATAATTGTACCCCATTCCTCCATTCCCTACTAACCAAAGGTAAGATTCAAGTTCCTTGCGGAGGGCCTTTAGTCTTACCTTTGGTTAGTAGGGAATGGAAGAATGGTAGTAGTAGTAATTATAATTGTACCCCATTCCTCCATTCCCTACTAACCAAAGGTAAGATTCAAGTTCCTTGCGGAGGGCCTTTAGTCTTACCTTTGGTTAGTAGGGAATGGAAGAATGGTAGTAGTAGTAATTATAATTGTACCCCATTCCTCCATTCCCTACTAACCAAAGGTAAGATTCAAGTTCCTTGCGGAGGGCCTTTAGTCTTACCTTTGGTTAGTAGGGAATGGAAGAATGGTAGTAGTAGTAATTATAATTGTACCCCATTCCTCCATTCCCTACTAACCAAAGGTAAGATTCAAGTTCCTTGCGGAGGGCCTTTAGTCTTACCTTTGGTTAGTAGGGAATGGAAGAATGGTAGTAGTAGTAATTATAATTGTACCCCATTCCTCCATTCCCTACTAACCAAAGGTAAGATTCAAGTTCCTTGCGGAGGGCCTTTAGTAAGCCCAACCTTAGGCACGAAGGCTCATGAAGCCTTAAACTCCTTCGATCCTGAACCCGACTCACATATCCGATGGCGATTGATAAGCCAGGACCATAAAGCCCAACACCCGCAGTAGACCCTAAACCGCCTGAAGCCGGAAACTCCAATCGTCGACTCCTCAAACCCCAAGCCTTGCACTCCAAACCCCCCAAAATAGCAGGTGAAGGACAGACATCGTGAACCCCATCCCGGAACCCCTGAGCCGTGAATTTTGACTACCCTCACTCCACTCCCTAAAACCCGCCCATCCTCACACCCCCTGCTGCTACTGCACAGCAGCTCTCACAAGCGCCCTAATCCCTATAACCCTGTTCGGAGCTCTACCCGTTAGCCACTGAAACCCTAAACCCTGAACCCCTAAACCCTAAGCCCTAAACCCAAAGCTCCCCAACCCCTACACACCAAACCCTACAGACCCAAACACCTTACCACCCCAACCCCCAACCCAAGAGAACTCCAAATCCTGAACGACACGCACAAATCGAGAGGCGTCTCAAGCCAACAAAAACACCTTACACCCCAAGCCTCCAACCCAAATGCCTATAGCACTAAACCCCAGACACCTTATACCCCATGGACACAAACCCTAAACCCCTACACCCCCAAACCCTAAACCCCAAAGAACCCTTTAAGGAATCCTTTAAGGCACCCTTCCTACCACCCCCAAGCCTCCCAAGCCAAATGCCGCGAGGCAGAGCTGTCTAAAGCAGCTCCCGACCTCAACGGCCCTGTTCCCCAGGTCGCCCCTGTGGGGTTCGACAGAGGTTACTATAGGGGCCTTAATACATACCTGTAATATTTTGGGGGTTCACAAGAGGTTAAGGGTTTAGTTTTGAGTCGTTAGAGGGTACTATACTTTTTTGGGGGCTCCTTATTATACTTATGTTGATGGTGTGTTGCAGGGGCCTTAATGATTACCTATACTATTTTGGGATTCCTTATTTACTTCTAGTACTATGGGCCCGAAAACCCTATTCTAATGATTAAGGTCCTTACATTATAGAGGTTAAGGTTTAGGGTCTTTAGGGTTTAGGTCTTAGGGTTTGGAGTCTGGGGTGTAGCTGCAGGGTGTAGGGTGTAGTGTTTTGGGCTTAGGGTTTGAGGTTCAGTACAGTTGGGGGTTTCGGGTTTGAGGTTTACCATGCTCCTACCACTGTTTCTTGCCCTCATGATGATCATGATTATTGTTAAGTGGTGCTGGTTCGTATTCTTGTCACTATCATCATGATCCTTACTTACTGTTGATGATATAAATCCTGCAATACCCATGAAGAATATACAATAGTTCCCACAGTCTAGGGCCATTAAGTGTTTAGCAGGATGTGTATCATCAACGGTACTGTCATGAACCACCTCAACCACCGAACGGCATCGGCGCAAGCCCTACTCCAAGAGGCGAGTCCCCTACACTCTAGAGCATGCACCCTGCTTGTAAAGCTCAGCCACCTTAAACCCGAAGCGAAAAAACCTAAAGCCTGTAAGCCCTATAACGCTATAAACCTCATAAAACCCATAAACCCCATAAGCCCTAAACCCTATAAGCCGCATAAGCCCTACTCTCAGAACTCTCCCAAACCCTAAACCCTAACACCCAAACCCCTCAACCCTAAACCCTGAACCCTCAACCCCGAAACCTTAAACCCCTAAAGCCCTAAACCCCGAAACCCTTAAACCCTAAACCCCTAAACCCTAAACCCCTAAACCCTAAGCCCCCGAAAGAGCGCTTCTTCCTCTGCGGAGGCGAGCCAAGAGCTTCCCGCCGCCAAAAAGGCGGCGATCCGACAGGTCGGAGCCTTCGGGGCTCCCTTTTTTTTAAACCGCTACAACCCCCACCCCCGGCGCCTTCGACCCTTTCTCACATTTCCCAATCAGGTGCTGCTCCTCTATGGCCAGGCGGGTGCTTTTCTCCGTCCAGGGTTTGTAGTTTGGACGGTCTTCCACCCGTCGAGGGCAGAGGGCTTCGGGGATTAACATAGGGGCCTTAATAATTACCTGTCACTATTTTGGGGGTCCTGATTGGAATTATGGTATCATGGGCCCCCAAACCCTATTCTAATTGTTAAGGCCCCTATATCAATGTAGCAACGGTTTGAACAACTGCGCATTGCCTTGAGAACCCTTTTCTTCCGTCCTTGTCCAGGGCAGGATTTTGTTAACATGTCGTGCAAAGAAGCTTTCGAATTCATCGGCGTGAAAGGGCGTCCTTTACGGCGGCCTACTAGTTCTGCTGGTACTGCTGCACCAGCAACAACAGCCAACAATAACTTCTATCACTATCACAACCACTACCACTGCCCCTGCCGCTGCCACGACCACTGCCACTGCCACGACCACGACCACTACCACTGCCGCCACCACCACCACCGCCACCACCACGACCACGACCCCTATCCTTGCCCCTAGCCCTACCCCTAGCGCTACCACTACTGCTACACCTACCGCTACCGCTACTTCCAACCCCAAAGCCGTCGTTTTGTCCACGTGCCAGATCTCTCGGCCTTCAAGCCAAGGGGTGCAGGAGGCAGGGGGATGGGTTTCGGGTCCGGGGTTTAGGGTTCAAGGCTTAGGGTCAATGTACGGTGTAGAGGTTTCGGGAAACTACTGAAGGTTCTGGGTGGTTTGAGGGCTTCTGGGGTGCAGGCCCAGTGCGGGGTTTCAAAGGGCTTGTTATGTCACGGGTAAGGGGTTTAGAGCTTTACGGGCTGTGTACCCTAGAGTTAAACAAGGACTTCAACGAATTCCGCACAATCGTGGCTATGAGGATGCCTCCCTTATGGGGCACAGACACCCTGTATCTGGTAACGCCAAGCCAACCCCTCAGTTTCCTCCAGAAAAGCCCAGTAACTCGAGCGCCAAGATCGCGGAGCTTAGGGACATAAGGGGGATTTCGGGTTGGGAGTTTCAGGGCCGCGGCTCGTGCTTGGAGGTTCCCGGGTAGTTCTAAGTGGGGAAATATGTAGGGTAACTATGGTTATAACTCCTATTAGGGGGCTTATAGCCCCATTAATAACTACCCCTGAACCTCCAAGTAGGCCCTAAACCCTATACCCTTATAGAATCCCTATAGATCCCTTTAAAGGGACCCTTAAAGGAAGGCTTATAACTACCCACGAACCTCCAAGTGGGGTCGAAGGTGGTGGGTTTTGGCCTTCCGGGGTTTCGCTTCCACGGCTCTCTGCTCCAGGGCCCGACCGTTCCCAGAGACTCCATGACCCCTGAATTAAAGAATATATTCCTGAAATCATATGAGGGATCCTACTATGATTTAAGGTATACTCCTTAATTAAAGGGGTAATGAAGTCTCTAGGTTACTACTCAGGCTGCTCAAGCAAGACTGACTTGCCATCTCGCATATTTGCATGCATACAAGGTGCGAGTAGCAGAAGCAGCAAGCAGCGGCTGCTGCTGGTTTGGTCTTGCACCCCAGTCAGGTCACCCACCTCGGCAAGCAAGCTCCACACAATGCCACATGCACCTTACATAAGTCCCCCCCAAATCCTCCCCTAAACCCTTAACCCCAAACCCTGAACCCCATAACCCTCCAAATCCTCTGCACCCTGTCAACCCTATGAACCCTAAAAGCCCTAAACGCCCTAAACCCAAACCCTTTTCTTCGTTCAATCTTTCCAGCTCCACTTCTTTCGGAAGGAGCCTCCAAACCCTAAACCTCAAACCCCGAAAACCCCTAAACCTTAAGACCCCAAACCCATGAAAGCTTATATACTGAGGTGCTCTACCGCTCCACCTGGTGCCGTTTTATCTTAGACAGCAACCTGGCTCCTTGGCTGCAAACCCTCGTAGTTTTAGTAGTTTGAGGAGTTTCCGTATTTTTTTATAGTTTCAGTAGCTTTTCGTAGTTTTAGTAGCATAGTTTAGAAGCTGCCCCCACCCTGTAATAGTGGTATAATAGGAATATAATAGGGCCCTAATATAATCCCTATATAACCCTTATAGTCACTATTACAGGGTGGGGGCCCCTTCTGAAGCATAGTAGTTTTAGTAGTTTAGTTTCGTTGAGTAGTTTATTGGCTTTAGGCGCTTTCATAACTCCGTGGCTCAGGAGGGGCCCTCAGTCAGCAGAAAAGGGATGTATTGTAGTAGGTTAATCTACTATTTGCTTAAGAACCACCCAAAAAACAAAGAAAAGTATTCCTTATGGGGGTAATATAGGGATTACTATTTTTTTTTTTAATTTTTAGGGGTTTCTTAAGCAAATAGTAGTAATACTTGGAGGGTCGGGGGACTTAGTAAGTAGGTAGTAAGTAGAGTTATAAGTACCCTAAAAGGGACCCTAATTGTGTTTATGGTACTTATAAGTCCCTAAAATAACCAGTTACTAAGTCCCCCGACCCTCCAAGTATTGAGAGTGTATATAGCAGTGTGTATATATCTATACACACACATACACACATTTTGTGGAGCCCTCCGTAACAGTATTGCGTTGAGCGACAGTGATTGCGCGGGTTTAGGGTTCACGGTTTAGGAGTTTCATGTCTCGAGTTTTGGGGTTTTGGCGTAGGGGATTAGGGGGAATTGCTGACCATGTCACAGACTGTAATTTATGTGTTTCCTCGTGAAGGCTTTTGGGGAGTACATGGTTCAGGACTGCAGGGCTTGCTGGCTTTGGGATTTTGGGTTCAGGGGGTGGGGAATCGAAGCCCCTCAACCCTAAAACCCTAAACCTCCACAACCATAAAAACCCAAAGCCTCAACCTCTGCACCCCTAGACCACAACCCTTAGTCCCGAAAAACTCATGGGGTGTGGCCTTTGTGGTTTCATAGAAGCCAAAATTTGTTTAGGCAAGGCTTCACGTTCCTTGTAAGTCCTTACACAGGACCATTGTCGATTCCTTGTAAAACAGCAGACAAGGTACCCCTGAACCCAAAACCCCTGAACCATTATCCTAAACCCTAGTCCACTAGACCCTGAACCCTTAGCCCTAGCCTACCCCCTGAAGCCTTGAACGCCTAAATCCCATACAAGTTACACCTTTGAACAAGACACTGAAGCTGCGAGGTGGCTCTGGAGGCAGAAGACACTGAGCGACCTTCATTTCACAAATCTGTGTGGCGCCCTGTGGTTTCTCAAAAAGGTTTTGAATAAGGGCTTCAGAGGGGTGTGTAGGGAGTTCAGGTCACAGGGTTTGGCGCTGAGGGGTTGGCTGCTGGTGGCCCAGAAACTCTTCTGCTTGGAACTACAGTAAACTCCATAAAGTTGGAAACCGGATGAAGGCCAAATAGTGCTGGGATTCCCTAACTCTTAAGCACAGAGGCTATTGGGTTTCCAACTTTTTGGCCTCTACTGTAGAAGGAGGAAAGGTTTTGTGGCTGGGGTTGCTTGACGGCGCTCTCAGTTCGACGGCCCCAATATAGACTCTAATTTGTAGGACTTAGAGTAGGTTCCGAGTTATCCCTGATATATCTCGGTATCTCCTAGGATGCCCAGTAGTACCCTTATTCCCTTTTTGTAGTCCTAGGTTCCTTAAAAAGTTACCCAATACCAAAAAGAGAGGCCTTTTTATTCTTAGGTTACTGCGTATCCTAGTCTCACTACCACAACCCCCGAGCCCGAGAACTGTCATCCAACAGCCCCCTACTCCGACGAACGCCTGGGCCTGGGTGCCTTTTCTCTTTTTCGCGTCCTGGCCATCAGAACCCCCCCAGAAACTCCAATATCCCTTAATTAAGGAATATTCCTTAAATCATATTAGGGATCCTACTATAGTTTCAAGTATATTCCTTAATTAAGGGATATTGGAGTCTCTGGGCTAGAACTCGAAGAGTCCCTCCACCTCAAAACCGAACGCTAAACCCTTAGCCCTAAAACCCAAACCCGACTTGCAGCGAGATCGAAAGTCCATTGCACCCTGAAAGCCCTAAGCCCTAAACCCTAAACCCTAACCCTAAGCCCTAGACCCTAAGCCCTAAGCCCACATCCGAAATCCTACGTCTTAGATCCTCAAGATAACTGTCACTTCCGTTCCCTTGCAATGGTGAACCCCGTATTCATCTTAAGTAGTCCATGAAGACCCATGATTTGGCGGGTTTTCGGGTGCAGGGTTTAGTATAGGGGCTTAAATAACTACCAACACTATTTTTGGGGTTCTTTCTGATAATTATAGTAAAATGGCCCCCGAAGCCCTGTTGTAAGTATTGAGGCCGCTACAATAGACGGGCTTGAGGTTCAAGCCTTCGGGGTGAATGTTTCGGATTTCGGGCTTGACTTCGAACATCTTAAGACCCTAAATTGGGATTGTCAACCCTGGGCGAATCGACGAGGTGAGACTTTTTGACAACATCTCGAAGTATGGCAAGGAAGGCAGCGCGTCGGGTGTCGGATTGGGGGTTTAGGATTCTGAGACTGAGGGTTGAGGGTTTTCGGGTTTAGAGTCAAAGCGGTGCAGTCCTTGCCTTTTTTTTTTCAATCGAGGGTGCCTCAACCCGCACCGAAGCCCCAAACCCTGAGCCGTTCGGGGGATTCGGGGTCTGTCGGTTCAGGTTTTTGGGTTTTGCTTTGGGCTGGAAGTTCGGAACCCGGGAGGAGGGAGTGGATTCGACATCCGGAGTTCACACCTCAGACCCATTGGCTGGCTGCAGCTGTACCGCTGTACCCGAAAGCATTGCGACTTGAATCGTCCCAAACCCCAAAATGCAGACCAGAAGCCACTTAAACCCGAAACCCGAAGCCCACAACCGCAACCCTAAGTTGTGCAGGTGGACAGCGATATGCCAATCTCGACCACTGTGTGACGCTGGTGGTGCAGCTAATGATGCAGGCAGCATCCGTCAGTTTTGTGCGCTGACTAAGCTTACGGCCATTGGCTGCTATTTGTATGCCTGCCACTCTGACTACAGATCTGTTACAGCTGGTCTGTTCTGCTGCTGCTTCTGTTATTATAGCCGCGATGTAAGTGACTACCATCGTTACTTTGACTTCTCTCCTGCCATTAGCATCGGAAATTTTGGTGTTCTGACTCAGTTGCCACATTTGTCATCTCTCTGGCATTAGTATGGTCGTGCTTGCTATCTATGGCTGCTACTGGCACCATTGGCAAAGCCTGCGAATCTCATAAACTCGTTCCTTTCACATGTATGCTGATACCCCGATACGCGAGGAAAAAGGGTTATAATGAGGATTATGAATGTATATATGCACATATGCATATATATATATATATATATATATATATGAATAAAGATCAATATATACATATATGTATATGTATATATATATATATACATATATATATATACATATATATATATAGGTAGCATTGCATATATATATATATATATATATATATATAGATATACACACACGTATGTATCCTAGTTTTTCGACATCCCTATTGTAAGGACCCCGAATTAGAAGGCACTCACGCAGACCCTGAGAACTGCTCATCTAGTAAACCCCAGAAAGTCGGAACATGGATTGAGGATGATTAGTGCTAGGATTCCCTCTACTTCACCTTAAGGGCATGAGGATGATGGTGTTCCAACTTTCTGGCTCCTACTGTCAGGGTTTAGGGTCCCTAGACCCTAAACCCTAAATCCTAAACCCGAAACCCTAAACCCTAAGTCCTAAACCCTAAACCCTAAGTCCTAAACCCTAAACCCTAAATCCTAAACCCTAAACCCTTAAATCCTAGATCCTGAACCCTAAACCCCGCTATGCCGGAGACCTTTTCAGGAACTCCAGGAGCCCCCTTGCTCTCAGAAGCCAACTTCGAAACGAGAGAAAACTTGAGTCACTACGGTTGATGACATAAATCCTGCACTACCACCCATAATAAGGAATATACCAGAATTCCCATAGTTCAGGGGCCTTAAGGTAATGCAGGATTTATAGCATCAGCCGTATCCACGAAACTTTTGTCTCCTTAGGAATTAGTTTTCACTTTGGTTCATACAAAACCCAAGAGAATATCAAACTAGGGTTTAGGGTTTAGGGTTTAGGGTTTAGGGTATTATGGTTCTAAGGGGGTATACGAAAGCCTATCAACAGACCTCAATTAAAGCACCCCAGATCAACATGCCGGCCTCCTTGGCGTGGGAGCTGTTCGAGGAGCGCGGACAGCTCAATACGTTCTACAGCAATTAGAATAAATAGTTCTGATAATGATAGTGGTTTTGGAACGGAATGTCGTTATTGTTTTCTTTATGGGGGTCAGATAGGTCTTCAGGAGTTATGGCTGTGGGGTGTGGCTCTTCAGGACTTGGGGCCATAAGTGCCGTTTGGGATCAGACGAGTCTCATGACCTTGGGGTGCGGGACATCTCCGCACCCCATGCGCCCAACACTTCTGCTCACCAGTCGAGCCCTCCGCCCCTCCGCCTCGCCACCTCTTTCCCCCCTCTGCGGTTTAGGGTTTAGGGTTTAGGGTTTAGGGTTTAGGGGTTTAGGGTTTAGGGTTTAGGGGTTTAGGGTTTAGGGTTTAGGGTTTAGGGAACCCTCAATTCCAGTTCTCTTTCCTAGCATCATGTCCACTTTCTTTCAGCATGCGAGCATTGGTCTGCCTAGTTGGGAGGCGGCAAGCCTTTGTGTATGTGTCCTGCCTATTGTTTCAGCCCGTCTTTCTGTGCTCCTCACAGGCCCATTCTAGAACCACTTGTAAGTTGTAAGCCTCCTGCAACCCTAATACAGACTCATCGAGCCGTCATAGAACCCTAAACCCCCGAAAGCTAACCTGTCACCCTACACCCTTAACTCTAAAGGAGTTTAAACCCAAAAGGTCCCCCAAGAACCCTAACAAACCCTAGTCCCAAAAGATCTGTAAAGCCTAGAACCTAAAGGGCCCCTAAACTTTGAAGATCCCAAAGATTGTGGAACCCCAAAGCACCCTAAACCCCAAAGATGTCTGGAAAATGAGGAGCCCTTCAACACTCAAGCCTAAACCCTAAGCCGCAAGCTCCAAATTCCCGAGCCCCTTGAACCCTTAACCCTAAACCCAAAGAGCCACTCCAGGAAGGCTTGATCAAGGCGGAGCGAACTGTCGAGGCAGGAGACTCCCCCTGAAGTCAGTGTTAGGGCTAGGGTGTAAGAGGGTTCCGGGTTGACGGATACAGGCTGAGGGATGGGGTTTTAGGGAATGTGGGGTCGAGGAATGCGAGTTTAGGGGTCGTGCGTTTGAGGCAGTCTCACAGATAGGAGGTCATGTATGCGTAAACCGGCTGCTCCGTGATACCATTGGTGCGATTGTATTAACTATGAGGGTACTGTTTTGTTTCTTAGATTCTTGTAGCACTATTGTTATAATTCGTTTCGCCAGTACTTGCGTTTCTTTCGTCTTTTGTAAGATATTCACATCATGTACACGCACATGTACACATACATCCACTCATGCATTTTCCTGTTCTCGTTTCTTTACCTCTTTTTTTGTCTGTTGATTTGGGCACCTTTATTGTTTTGATGTATTTATTTATCTACTTACTGTATTGACCCATGACTTGTTTATTCAACCATGCTTCCATCCATCCATCCAGCCAGCCGGCCAGCCAGCCATCCGTCCATCAATCGATTTAATCCATCCATCCATCCATCCATCCATGCTTGCATGCATGCATTCGCCTGGATATTTCAGGGTCTTTAGTCATGTACTTATGATGCTGCATCCTTGATTCATTTGCTTGTTTCGCAATTGTTTGTTGCTGCCAGTAGCTACGATTGTGCACAATGCCTGCTCTTGCCATTATCGTCACGCGAATGATCGTGATGGATCATCGGCGCCATTACCGGTGCGTTTGTCATTGCCTCCATCCTTGCCATTGTCGTTGGCATCATCGCCGTCGTCGCGGTTGTGGTTGGTGTTGCTGTTGCTGTTGCTGCCGCTGTTGCTGCTGCTGCTTATGCTTGTGTTGCTGTTGCTGTTGCTGCTGCAGCAACTGTTGTTGTCTTGTTCTTGTTGTTGTTCTTCTTGTTTTCTTGTTGTTCTTGTTATTGGTGGTGGTGTTGGTGGAGGTGGTGGTGGCGGCGGGGGGGGGGTGGCGGTGGTGGTGTTGGTGTTGGTGGTTTTGGTTTTAGTGTTGGTGTTGTTGTTGATCGTTGGTCGTTGGTCGTTTGTCGTTTGGTGGTTGGGTGGTTGGGTGTTGGTTGTTGGTTGTTGGTTGCGGTTGTTGTTAGTAGTGGTGGCAGCGTTGGTTTTGGCGGTGCTGGTTCTGGTTGTTGGTTGTTGGACGTTGGTTGGTGTTTGTTGGTTGCTGATTGCTTGTTTGTTGTTGTTGGTGGTGGTGGTGGCGGCGGCAGTGTTGGTGTTGGTAGTGTTGGTGTTGGTGGTCTTGGTTTTGGTGTTGTGTTGGTTGTTGTTGCTGGTGACGGTGTTGGTGCTGCTGCTGTACATCATCAGGGCTTAGCATTTCGGGGTAAGACGTGTGCAGCGCTCAGCCCCTGCTCGTCACTGCTGGTCGAAGGATGCGGTCCAAGGGCTTTTGAACGGAGTTTCCGGCATTAGAGTAATGTGATGAGGGGGCAGCTTTCCTTTGCTTGAAGTGTCAAGGTTACAGTCAGGTAAGTAAAAACCGCGGTTATGAAGCCTCATGCACTGGCTCCTTCCTTAAGCCCTGAACACCTCATCCCAAATCCCCCAAGCTCATGTATCCGAATGCCCAAACCCCTGCGGCCCTAAGCCTAGACGCTGAATCCTAACATCCTGAGGCTCTAGAGCCACAGAACCATAAACCAGCGCAGGCTATTTATGGCGAAGTGCAACATCAAGTCGACGAGTGTGTGCAGGTGCCACAAGCAGTGGATCCACTATTTAGGGTCATGTTGGGGTTGTTGCGTGGGATTGTATGAGACTTCAAGGGTTACGATAGGGGTGGCCAGAGAGATTTAGGGTTGGTTGTTCAGGGTGTTGGCTTTCTGGAATTTCGGATGTGGGATTGTAAGCGTTCAGTGTTTCGTGTTTTTTGTTTCTCACGCATGGCACGCGTTTGCAAAACTTTGATATACATAGTTGGGGTGCGCCCTCAACCCCAGCCTAAAGCCTAAACCCTATTCTTTCGCACCACAATGACTCCGGCTCATTCCAAGCTGTGCTTCCCGCACAGCCTTTGGTGAGCTATAACAGCTTACATAAGCCTCTGCCCACACATCCCAGTAAGCCCATAAGATCCTATAGAAACTCTACGTGGGAGCCACGCGGCAGAATATGCCCTAAACCCCTAAGCCGCAACCCCAAAACCCCCAAACCCCCAAACCCCAAACCCCAAACCCCAGGGTGAGCCCCAAACCCCTAAGCCCCACAAGCCTAAACCTCAAGCCCTAAAACCTAAACCCTAAACCCGAAACCCTAAACCTCTTTACCATATATATTTAAACCCTAATACCTTCGCGGTTTAAGGCAATTTTGACCCCCCCGACCTTCGGCCATTCGCGGTTTAAGGCAATTTTTGCCTTAGACCCCCGACCTTCAGCCATTCGCGGTTTAAGGCAAGTTGGCCCCCCCCGACCTTCGGCAATTCGCGGTTTAAGGCAAGTTTTGCCTTAAACCGCGAACGGCTCAAGGTCGGGGGGGGTCCCCCCGACCTTCGGCAATTCGCGGTTTAAGGCAATTGGCCCCCGACCTTTGGCAAGGCCCCCCGACCTTCGGCCATTCGCGGTTTAAGGCAATTTTTGCCTTAGACCCCCGACCTTCAGCCATTCGCGGTTTAAGGCAAGTTGGCCCCCCCGACCTTCGGCAATTCGCGGTTTAAGGCAAGTTTTGCCACTTGCCAAACTTTCGCTCTGCTATCAACCAGCGAAGCATAGTTGAACCCAAAACTTGCCCAACTTTCGCTCTGGTATCAACCAGCGAAGCATGGTTGAACCCAAAACTTGCCCAACTTTCGCTCTGGTATCAACCAGCGAAGCATGGTTGAACTTAAAACTTGCCCAACTTTCGCTCTGGTATCAACCCGCGAAGCATAGTGGAACCCACAACTAATTTAGCATTACCTCTTTACCATATATATTTAAACCCTAATACCTTCGCGGTTTAAGGCAGTTTTGACCCCCCCGACCTTCGGCCATTCGCGGTTTAAGGCAATTTTTGCCTTAGACCCCCGACCTTCAGCCATTCGCGGTTTAAGGCAAGTTGGCCCCCCCGACCTTCGGCAATTCGCGGTTTAAGGCAAGTTTTGCCTTAAACCGCGAACGGCTCAAGGTCGGGGGGGGTCCCCACGACCTTCGGCAATTCGCGGTTTAAGGCAATTGGCCCCCGACCTTTGGCAAGGCCCCCCGACCTTCGGCCATTCGCGGTTTAAGGCAATTTTTGCCTTAGACCCCCGACCTTCAGCCATTCGCGGTTTAAGGCAAGTTGGCCCCCCCGACCTTCGGCAATTCGCGGTTTAAGGCAAGTTTTGCCACTTGCCAAACTTTCGCTCTGCTATCAACCAGCGAAGCATAGTTGAACCCAAAACTTGCCCAACTTTCGCTCTGGTATCAACCAGCGAAGCATGGTTGAACCCAAAACTTGCCCAACTTTCGCTCTGGTATCAACCAGCGAAGCATGGTTGAACTTAAAACTTGCCCAACTTTCGCTCTGGTATCAACCCGCGAAGCATAGTGGAACCCACAACTAATTTAGCATTTAGCTTGCCTAAGACTGGCAACTAACTATGAATAAATAGCTTGCAACATATACAACAAACCTAGTTGTTTGGGAGAATCTAAGGTAAGTCTAAGCTCGACAACGTTAAAAAAATAAATCAGCTGTGGAAGCAATATGAACTGTTGTATTTTCCTAGTGGTGTGGGAAGGCGACATTAAAGTGTGACAGGCTAGGTTGTAGGTAGAACTCTCTGAATGATGATGAAGGACTTTATATGGCTTATGTTATGGGATTCTAAGGGTGGGTGGGTGTTATTTCTAAACCGTAAATACAACTCTATTTTAAAACTGCTCGATCCGGAGCTGCTGAACCCGAAACCCTAAACCCTAAACCCGAAACCCCTAAACCCGAAACCCCTAAACCCGAAACCCGAAACCCGAAGCCCTAGACCCTAAACCCTGAACCCCTAAACCCGAAACCCACAACGCGTACCCCAGATTTTCCCTTGCAAACAGCATAGGAGGCCAAAAAGGGGCTTTAGCCTATGGGGGTTAAGTAGGGATTAGGGTTCCCATTATAGGGTTCATATTAAGGAATCCCTACCCCAAGAATCTTAAACCCCACAAGCCTAAACCTAAAACCCTCAAGCCCTAAACCCTAAACCCTTAAAACCCTAAACCCTAAATCCCAAGAATCTTAAACCCCCCTTTTGGCCTCCCATGCAAGCAGCAGGTCCTCGCGAAGGAGATCACGGAGGAGGCAATTTTCTCGGAGCCACCTTAGAGGTTAACAGAGGAGCCTTAAAAAATATGAGGGGCCTTAAAAAAAGAGGAGCCTTAAAAAGCAAAGAGGAGCCTTAGTAACTGGAGTTTAGGGTTTAGGGTTTTTTGGGGTTTAGGGTTTTTTGGGGTTTAGGGTTTTTAGGGGTTTAGGGTTTAGGGTGTAGGGGTTTAGGGTTTTTAGGGGTTTAGGGTTTAGGGTGTAGGGGTTTAGGGATTTAGGGGTTTAGGGTTAAGGGGTTTAGGGTTTAGGGGTTTAGGGTTAAGGGGTTTAGGGTTTAGGGGTTTAGGGTTAAGGGGTTTAGGGTTTAGGGGGAGCCTTAATAAATGGAGCGGGGTTCTTGAAAAGGCTTGTAACAATTTAAAAAGGGGACTGCAAGGGTTACTATTGAAGCTGTTGTACGGGCTTTTCATGTAGGGGCAAAAAGTGCTTAGAATCGGGTTTTGGGGGTACAAGTACAAACCCGAAGGAAGAATGTATTGGTACAAATGTAAGCGCCTGTATTAGCAGGGGTTTAGAGTTTAGGGGTTTGGTTCGGGACTTGTGGTTAGCAACAGAGGATTTTCGATTTTACATCCTGAACCCTAGAGACTGTGGGGTTTAGAGCTTTAGACCCTAAACCGTTCTGGGTTTAGGGGTTGAGTGCTTGCACTGCTTCATTCTGGGTAAATGTAGACCCGTGATTGCTAATCCCTTTTTCCTTACAGCCAGTAATCCTAGGACCCCTATTATCATCCATGTCAGGGGAGAGGGGTTCAAACAATCAAGGGCTTACATGAAGGGTTTCGGGGAGCTGGAGGGCTCTAAAAACCCTCAACCCCAAGCCCTCCACCTCTAACACCCCAAAAGACCACCCAAACCCACGAAACGCCAGCGCCCTAACTCCAACGCTCCGGGACCCTAAGCTCCAAATCCCAGAAACCCGGATCCGATCTGAAGAAGGCTGACATCCCCGACACGGCTGCATTGAGACCCTCCAGAAATCCGACACTCCTTAGAGATGCCTGATAGAAGCCACAAGCCCTAAACCCTACACCCTGAAGCCTACTCGCCTAAACCCTAAACACCGAAGCCGTAAACCCCAAGACCCTAAAGCCTTATGGGTGGTTATGAAAATTAGTGTCCCTTTTTTGGATCCCTAATATGATACGGCACCTAATATTTAGGGTACCCAAAAAGGGACCCTAATTCTGACAACTACCCTTATGGGAGTTTCCGAATAGGGGACCCTAATTATAGTACCCTAAATAGTAGGATCCTTATTATAAGGACACCAAAATGAGGTACCCCTAATTTTCGGAAATTCCCAAGCCCTAAACCCTAAATCCTATAGATCCCTCATAATAGCAACCCTTAAAAGGAACCTCATAGATCCCTTTAAAGGAGCCCCTAATTTTCGGAAACTCCCTTGTAGAAGGCCATTATGGAGCGTCGGATCGACATGTTCGGCAGCTGGGACCGGATTTGCAGACGACCTTTAGTCTCCATTGCAGTTCCTTTCTTTCTTTCTTTCTTTCTTTTTTTTTGGGTTTAGGGTTTAGGGTTTAGGGTTTAGGATTGCAGTTCCTTTCTTTTTTTTTTTGGGGGGGGGGAAGGGGTTTTAGGGGTTTAGGGTTTAGGGTAGATGAGTGGATACACTTTACACTTTTGGGGGATAGTCTTAATCACTATAAAACTGAAAGTGCAAGCTTTTGGGGGCTTAGGAACTCAGCAACTAAGTATAGTCTGCATTGCAGTTCCTTTCATTTTTTTGGGGGAAGGGGGGGTTTAGGGGTTTAGGGTTTCCGAATGTATATTACAGGATGCTAACCATAAGCATGGTTACACCAAAACGGGAACTACAACGGAGACCTCAGGTAAAGGCTGCAGTAAGCAGCACAAGTCCAACTGTTGCTCGTGCTTGGAGTTTAGGTTTTAAGGTGTGGAGTTTAGGCTTTGGGTTTTCCCCGGTTTTTGGGTGTAATCCAGAGGCCTCAATAACTAGCAGCATTATTCCTAGGCCCCACACAACTCCTGAAGCCCCAAACCTTCAACCCTCGACCCTCGCACGCCTGGCCCTCCTTAGTAGCTGAGTGGATACAGTTTACACTTTTTTGGATAATACTACCTACAATAAAGACTAAAAGTGCACACTTTTGGGGCGTATGAATTCAGCAACAAAGACTTTCTGGAAGTTACCGTAATAGCGCTCTCCAGTAGATACTATGGTGTCCTGACCATGGTAGCTCCCTAATCCCTAAACCCTAATTCGGTTTAGGGTTTTGTGATTTAAGGGTTCGGGGTTTCAGGGTTTCGGGTGCAGGGTTTGAGGGTTTAGGGCTTCGGGCTTTACCAATATGGAATCCTGAACAGCCGAAGCTTCCGTTCCTTATGATAGGCAACATCTCCGGAAAGCCGGGTTTGTAGTGATGCCTAGTCTGACGAAGACCCATGATCGTATGAGGGTTTCAGGGTTTACCACAGCCACAAAGCCTAAGCCCTAAACCCCACTTTAATGTACCCCAGCCGCAAAGCGTTACGCCCTGAGGCAAGCATGGGTCGCCACCGCAGTCTTTCCAAGGGTCACTCCTGGCTTGGACAAGGCGCGTACGTGGCTGAAGAATTTGTCTTTCGGGCTTCGTGTTTAACCCAAGCCCTAAACCGTCCGCGACACTGCAATCATCCAAAGACCTGAACAGCCCAAACCCGAAACACGCGTAAACCCTAAACCCCTAAGCCCCTCTAAACCCTAAACCTTAAACCCTGCACTCTAACCTTAAACCCCTATCCCCTGGAACCTAAACCCCTAAACCCTAAACCCCTAAACCCTAAACCCCTAAATGCAAGTCATTGCCAGGGGCCTCCGCTTCTGGATCAACGTCACCACCACCAGCTGCCTCCCCGAGGCAGAAGTCAGGGGCTTCCACCCTACCTTCGGGGTTTAGGCCCTAGAACCCCGAAAACCCCGAAAGCCCCAAAAAGCGCCTAAAGCCCCTAAAGCCCCTAAGACACCTAAAAACCGACGTAGACCGTAAAACATCTGCAGGGTTTGGGGTTCGGCTGTTTAGGGGTATACTGGGTTCTTGTGAAGGAGTTTAAATGTAAGTTACCACAATAAAGAAACCATATTATTTGGGTTCAGGACTTGGGAGCCCAGGGGAGGCGCTTGTTTCAGGGGTGTTGAGGTCTCCGCAGTATCTGTGCAGTGTTAGCATAGAGGTCTGACCCTAAACCCTAAACCCTAAACCCTGCATCGCTTTCTGGACCTGAAGCACCCAACCACAAAGCGGAAACCAGCAGCCATGTCCTTTCTGATTAAAGTGGTTTAGGGTTTAGCAAAGACATTGAGCGCCCTTGTATCCGCAGAACACGGTGGAGCGCATCGAGCAAAGCTTAGCCAACGAGCAGTTTGCCCGGGACGAGATCACTGAGGCTTTCATCGGAAGGGTCTTAAGTCCAAGGTTTGGGGCCGAGTTGGTTTGGGCTTCACGTGGCTTCACCGTAGAACGCTGATCAATCACCCTGTCCTTGAACAGGGCTTACAGTGGGGATACTGCTATGTTCGCCCTCGTAATAAGGGGGGGGAGTCTGCACTTGGGTTGAGGGTGTGGCAGAGAGCAGCAGGAATATTCCTAAACCCCTTAAAAACCGAAACCCTAAGCCCTAAACCCTCCTGGGCAGGGCCGTCAAGCAGGCGGCCCTGCTTCAGAGCCCCATCCTGGCAACTCCAGAAAGCTAATATAGGGACCTTGGTAGTTACCTAGACAATTTTGGGGGTTCCTCATTATAATAAAAGTATAACGGGCTCCGAAACCCTATTATTCTGATCATTAAGGCCCCAATATGAAGCCCTAACCCGAACTGTAGCACGGACATGAGCTAGGTTCCCCAGTGCTACACCGTTTGTCTTTGTTTTTTTTTTTTTTTGGGGGGGGTTCTCTTCTTAAAACCAGAGACTGGGGAGGAAACAGGGGCACCCTGATTGTTAAGGGGCTATAGTGGAAACCCTAAACCCTAAACCCTACACCCGAAACCCTTAACCCCAAACCCTAAACCCCGTACACTGTGGAACCCCGCGACTAGTGGAGCGAGGGTTTGGTGGTCTATTGGGGCGAACAGTATCACCTTGAATGCCATAAGAGGCCAGGAAGACCCCCAAACCGAGAAAGATAACCTCTTAAAGCCCAAGCCTCACCCTTCAAATCCTAAAGCCCTAAACCCCTGTTCCTCTAAACCTCTAAACCTTGAACCCCTAAACCCCTAAACCCTAAACCTAAAAACCCCAAACCCAGAAAGCTTTCTTTTTTCTCCAGCCCGGCTGTCTCTACACCGTGGCCAAGTACGAGGGGCTCTTTGAAGAGCTTTTCTTAGCGTGCCTTGCCTTCGTGAAACCGGGCATTACCTGGGTGTCTAATTATGACTACAGTGACTACAGTACAACTTACCCAGCAACCCCATTCTAATTGCTTAAGAGCAGAGTTCTGGGCTCGGGCGCAGTGTGGAGTCAAGGGTTGTGTGCCTGGACAAAGAAGCTGTCGTGCGTGCCTACGGCATTATGGTGGCGTCTGCGGTCATTGCGCAAGGCGGCAGAAAGTGGGAGTGGCAGCAGTGTGGTGGTGTCGGCGGTAGCGGGAGTGTCGGTGGCGGCGCTGGTGGTGGTGGGGGTGGTGGTGGTGGTGGTGGTGGTGGTGATGCTGGTGGTGGTGGTGGCGGTTGCGGCGGTGGCGGTCGTCGTCGTCGTCGTCGTCGTCGTCGTCGTCGGTGTCTTGGTTTCGGCCGTTGTCATGGTTGTGGTCGTGGTGGCGGTCGGGTCGCGGTCGTCGTCGTAGTTGTCGTCGTAGCAAGAAGAAGATGAAGATGAAGGGTTACCAGCTTAGCAGCAGGAATAGCGATGATGCTTCTGAGGCTTTTCATCCGGTGATGGTTATACAGGTGGCATCAGGCAGAATCACGAAACTGACAACGCCGGCCATTTTTTTTTGTCAGGTTCCTGGTCTTTGACTATCGCCAATCGCCAGTCATGAATGCGTGAGAACAGTCGTCTTGCTAGCCTCTAAAACCCAGGTACTGCTATGAGGAGAGGACTGCCGTCAAAGAGGCCAGCCAACTCCCGGATCGTCTCAGACTGGCTGAGGTCTATGCAGTAAATCAACAGCCCCTTGGTCACAAAAGCAAAAAAATCCCAAATGGGAGTTTCCGAAAACAGGGGACCCTAGTATAGTACCCTAAATAGAAGGATCCTTATTATAAGGACCCCAAATAAGGTACCCCCTATTTTCGGAAACTCCCAAATTAGTAAGCTGTAAGAAACCCATTGCGCGGTAGCAGCACGCGAAAGAGTATTCAATAAGAGCATGAGCCACGAGGAGCTGGTTTGGGGGTAGCGAGTTAGACTCGAGTCAGCGGGGGCAACTTCGTAGCCGGCGCTGCCTCGAGACTTGCTTGACTAGGATGCCCAGTAGTACCCTTATTCCCTTTTTGAGGTCCTAGGTTCCTTATAATGTTACCCAATACCAAAAAGAGAGGCCTTTTTATTCTTAGGTTACTGGGTATCCTAGAAGTAATTACTCGAGACATGTGGGGTTGTAGGGTTTCGGGGTTCGGAGCTAAGGGCTGACGGCTCATCAGGGGCCTAAGTAATTTGAATAGGGTTCCTTTAAAGGGGTCTAAAAGGGCTACCATAAGGGCTATCCTAGGGAAGTATTCAGGATTCTTATGGAGTAGAAGCTTGTTCCTGCTTCAGCACTCGAGGTGTATACTGGATGGTCTCAGGCCTCGTAGAATTGCCGTGACAGTGACATCGACCATGATGTAGCACTGGAGAGGAGCTGGCTTCAGAGTCCATGCTCAGGCTTAAGAAGGCCAAGAGCCTCATTGCAAACCTGAGCCGTGATTCCAACTTCTCGGAACCCAAACTCCTGCACCCACAAACGCAGGATGAGAACGGCAAGACCCGCAACGAAGACGTGAAGCACATGCCGGAGCCTTGGCGATCGACTGCACTTGGGCGACTTCCGAAGCCCTAAGCCTAAAACTGAATCCCTCGAGTTGAAGAGCTTGAGGAGTACCCAAAGACCCCAAAGTAGTTCCTTTTTGGGATTACCTTATAGGATTCTGCATGCGAAGGGCTTGACATGATTCAAACCTCAAACACTCTTTAATTCAAGGCATAGCCCTGAATTTCGAGATTTGTGGAGTTTTTGACCATTGGCAACTTGAAGGTTTATGGGCCAGGATGGCAACATAGGCCTGATGGTTGTAGCGAGTGTAGGGTGTTCGTTGCAGCTGAGGGGTTCGGGGCTGTTAGAATCGTGATTCCTAACCTGTTGAGTCTATGCCTGCAATTGTCCCTAGTTTTGGTATGTTATGACGGTGGTGATGATGATGGTGAGGCAGACGATGGTGATGATGATGATGATGATGATGACGGTACGGCTGTTGTTGAAGATTGCGACGCCTGTGTCGACGATGATGCTGGCGACTACGATGGCGCTGATGGGGATGGTGACGGCAACGGTGATGGTGATGGTGGGATGATCATGTCGGGAGCATGCGATGCTGGCGATATTAATGATGCTGACCATGAGGCAAGCACAATTACATGATGCTATCACGCCTAAGGTGCAGCTGTCGCCGCAATGTAAGTTGCCATTTTTGCGCTGTGGGGCTCAGTTCCCGGTAAACATCTCCGGAGTGAGCGTGGTTTCGCCTTCTTTGATTGGTGGGAACCGCAACCGCTGTGCTTCTTCATGTTCTGTTCTTGGTCACTGCCATTGCTGCTTCATGTTTTCAGCATCATTTTCTAGCATGTTTTGGATGACCGTGGCCTCTGGCGTTGCTAGTCGTGCAATCGGATTTGCAAGTATGGATGCCGTTGTGTCTATTCTATCATTGCTACTCGTCGCCAAAGGTGGTCGCGACTAGTGCAGCAGCTCTTTACCACCGAGAGAGGACCGAGAGGACAACGATGCCGACGACGACTGCCACTACGACTACCTCCACGACTGCTACTACAGCTGCTGCTTCCGCTACCAATGCTGCTACTACGATGACGACGATTACACTCCAGGGATTGTTGCTACTGTCACTTCCAAGCAACTTCTCCCCCATCCTTACACCAGCAATGCCCCAAATCTGAATCTGTCAGCCCCGAACCATACAAACACCTAAACCCTAAACCCTAAGCCCCAAAACTACAACGGCTCAGCCAGGTCCTTTGCGGCTTTCTTCCGATTCTGTGCAGATTTTCACGTTTTCCCTGGCCTCGTCTCTTTTGAAGAGGCTGACGGTCAGTACCCAGAACCCTAAACTCCTAAACCCCCTAACCCCAAACCATAAACCCCAAACCCCAAACCCCAAACCCTAAACCCTAAACTCCGATGTTGGCCTTTGCAGCCCTCGTTTCAAACGATGGAAACGGGTTTCACCTTGAGCAGCATTGTGTGTCTCATCGCTCAGCGATTCTGCAGTGCATCGCAACTGTAGTGCTCGACGATGGCTACTCGTTCAGGTTTCGATTCGCAGTCCAGGTCCACTCGTCGCAAAGCAGGAATTGTTGGTGCAAAGGAGACGTATGTCGGGTTCAACAAGCACACGATGATGGAGTACCGGTATCGCGAGAATGGTCGAGTGACTTCGTACATCGGTGCACCGGGTACTGACGTTTCCCACTTCGTCCAGTTCGGAGAGACAGGACTGTACACATACAATCCTTTCGCTCCAGGTGCCCCACTCGCTGCAACTCCTGCTGTGCAGCAGTCGATTGATGCATTCATCGGTCAGCATGCCAACATCAATCGTGCTGCACATGGCGTCGGTCATATCAGCAACGACCTCAAGGTGTGCCTGTACACTGATGTGAGGCGCATCGTCGGAGCACCAGTGTGGCAGCCCTCAGCAGCAATGCAGCAGCGCTTGATCGATGCTGGCTGGGCGGGAGTCGGTGCGCCAGTGAATGTGTGCTCGTATTCCAAGAATCGTGGCGATGCATTTCGAGTGGCACCGTTGAAGCATCGTGTGACGATTGGCCTTCACCTGATCCCATCGATTCAGCCTGTCTTCCGCAGATTCGTCGCTGCATCGCTTGCAGGCAATGCAAACATGACATACAAGGGTCGTGTTGTGGACATTCGAGCAATCGGAGGAGCTGCACCTGCCGCGCGTCCAACAGATGTCGGAGCTTGGCCAGCAGCTGCGCCTGTTGCTGTGCAGGATGCATTCGACCAGTGGGTCAGTGTGGGCTTCGGTGGCATCGAGATCGACGTGCTCTCTGTGATGCACTTCGGAACTCCCAACGTGGCATGCCGTGCAGCTGCAGTCGATGTACCAGCAGCTGGCAACAACTGGGCTATTCCAGAAGCGAATCATGCGGCCAACACATCGGCAGGCATCGCATGGTTCGTGTCAAGCTCCTTTCGCAACGACGATGGGTCGGATGGCACGAATGCGCAGCATGTGTGGGAATCGATCTGTGCCACTGAGCTCTCGGCATTGCCCCTGGCCAATCGTCCACCTCCTCGTGCAGCTGGAGCTGCTAATGCTGTCGATCCCATATGGTTCTCCATCGAGGCGCTTGAAGGACAGATGGCCTTCGGCAGTGATGCTGACTCGAATCCTGAATTCACGATCTTCGAGATGCCTGCCGGATGTGGACCTTATGTCGAGCCTGCAAACTGTGGCATCGCACAGGTTCGTGCCATTGGATACAATGGCGGTGTTCTCGGTGCAGCAGCACTGGGCCAAAGACGACCTCATGATGATTAACTCGATGCAACTCCGGGTCTACAGATTGGCGTTTGGTGTTCAAAGAGGCAGCCAGGAGAATTGGGTCGAGTTCAACTCCAGGAGTTTGAGAACGATACGTGCCTGGATGCAAGCACAGGGGGGTTGAGCGCTGGAGCAGTAAGGTCTTGAGGTTGCAGTTTGCATTAGTGGGTCATTGGTGTCGTCGTAGAGAAGGAGATCAGGAATGCATGCCGGCCCTCATGCTGGGATGGAGAGACCTTAAGTGGTGGAGAGCAGAGCAGAAGATCAAGTCTGGGATGAGGCACCCTGAACGCTTCTATGCTGATAATGCGGAGCGAGCACTGGCCGAGACCCTCGGTCTGGAGTGGAAGAAAGCCACCGGCAACCGTGAGGGGTGGAAAAACTTGCTGCCTCTCTGGTTGGAAAGTCAAGATGTTCGCTGGACCAGGGGTAGGCAACCTGCACTGTCTGGCCGCTAGTGAGTGACTTTGTGTACCACCTGTTGCGCATGTGGGTCGTGCAGCTGTCTGATGAAGCTGGTGACATGGGCTGAAATGGCAGTTTCCTGCTCGAAACACGACATGCGCAAGTTGTACAACAAGCTGTCTGTGAACTTTTCATGAATGTTGTGTACTACATGCAGATACTTCCTGGGATGATCTACCTTTCTAGTCTTTTGCGCGCTCCAATTCGCTTCACGATGACTCGCCTCATGGTTGTCCCTGTGCTGGCCGCCGCGCTGGGTTGTCTGCTTGGTCAGCTGGTTCAGGGACGTCCTCCTCCTCGACAAAGAGCACAACGACTTGAGACGGTGCACGAAGACCTTGAGGATGCCGATGACCGCGGGAATGAATGGCCAGAGCCTCACCCTGAACCTGTCGCTGACCCAGTTCATCAGTGGAACAATGAATGGCCTGGGTCGTCTACACACCATGACCTGGGGATGGGTCAATGGAATCCATCGTGGACTTGGTCTTCGTGGGGTGGCTGGGCCGATGATCGCAGCTGGCGGGAATGGCACAACCGTGATGACTGGGAGCCTACAAGCACTTCGTGGACGAACTGTTCCTGGGATGGTCGTGGATGGCATGATGGAACTGGGTGGGGATCTTCGTCGAGTTGGTCTTGGCATGAACCTGCTTCTGACTGGCACGACCGGACTGCTGCACCAACATGGGGCGACCAGCCACGTGCCCGACTTCGACCTACACGGGATGTACCTCAACAGCGAGCTGAACCTTCGGGACAACCTCAACAACGAGCTGAACCTTCGGGACGACCTCCACAACGAGCTGGACCTCCAGGACAACGTCAAGCCCAAGGACACCCTGTACGAGATGATATGAGGTTTTTGTGGGTTCCTGGCTGGGGTCGTGGCGCTCCTCTCCTTCCACCTTACCGTAGGGCCGAGGGTTTCTACCGAGACGGCGACTGGATTGACCGACCGCGGACTGACTGGGAGGAAAGATGGCAACGAGGAGGAGGCGGCGAACGGAGAACCTCTCGCCGTGATGACCGCCAAGCACAGTGGTTCCAAGGGACGTTCCGGCCTGCTGCCTTCCAACGAGCTCAAGCTGCGGGGGTGACAATCGAGGACACTATGCGGGACTACTTTCGTGACCTACTTCGACGTGCTGATGCTCCTCTCCCTGGTGCCTCCCAAGCCAGTAGCGCCCATGGTGGGATGGAACAGAACAACGACATGGTACACCAGGTTTGGTCTTCTGGTTCAGATGGGACGTGGTCATCACCATGGTGGACAGCCGAGCAATGGAGAGAGTGGGGTCGAGCCCAATGTCGCAACATGGGGTTTGACGGTACTCATTTTTCTGTTGACTGGTCTGGCCCAGGGCTGCCTGACATCGAAAACTATGTGAACATGCTCCGGGTTGGGACCACCTCTTTCTGCCGTGAGCCTTCGTCGAGTACTACTACGACATCGTCCTCTTCGAGCTCTTCGTCGCCTACAACATCGCCGACGACCTCATCGCCTCCAGCTACGACGTCGCCGACGACCTCATCGCCTCCGGTGGCTACCGATGAAGTGGTCATGATGCAGACTGGGGTGGCTGCACGACAAACGGGAGGAGAACAACAACCTGATGGAGACGACCCAAACAATGAGGATCGAGGACAGGGTCGGAACCTCGATGGCACCACTGAAGGGGATGCAAACCTCCAGCCCAACTTCCTGCTTACACATGATGAGAGGGACGAACTCCTGGAACTGGGGTGGGATGAAGGAACTGTCAACGACCTGAGTGAGTTCTTGTCCTACCTACAAGACATACGTGACCGTGCTGGGGTGGAAGCAGTCTCCTGGGCTCTTGGTCAATGGGCTCACTCGCTGATCCTGTCGGAGGCCACGTTGGACCTCGTGCAGGACGTCCTTTTCCGTCGTGTGCAAGGGGCGGGTGAACAACGACCTGACGACCTTGGGATGAGAGGGAGACTATGTGTGGGCTTCGCTGGCTTCCAGAAGGTGCTTGGGGCGTTCCACCTTCGCATCGTACAACGCCTTCTGCAAGATGTCTGGCTGGAGGCTGCTGATGTTGGTGACCCACCTTACCTTCCTCCTCCTGGGATGGTCATCCATGGGGTGACCAACACTGCCGCCTTGGCCGTGGACACCGCGAGAGCCCGCGCTCGTGCCATGATCGAGCGAGCAAGACAGAACCGGGGTGTTACACGCGAAGACCGCGGTGATGCTGCACGTGATGGTCGTGGCAACGGTGCTCGCGGTAGTGACGACGCTGACCCTCGGGATGGTCGCGAGGAAGGGGGCGAGGAAGGGGACGAAGCAGCCATGATGCAGATGACCGCGGATGAAGAACAGACGTTGGACGACCTGGGGGTGTGCGATGAGTTAAGACGTCGCCTTCGGGATCTACTACGAGGACTTGAACTGCAAGAACAACGGGATGTGGGCGCTGAATACCGCTGGGGCGTTCAACAACTGCTGGTGGCCTCAGAAGGTGCACAAGTGGCCGCGCGCGCGGGGTGGAGCGCATCCTTCGTGACCGCGTTCGGCCTAGCCCAGCAATGTGCAGCTTCCCTTGCCAGCGTGTGCCACCATATGGGGCGTTGCGCAGCCGTGTGACCGCTTGGATGGCGGAGTTTCAGTACTTCCTCGTCTCGACGTACCAGAGGGAAATGGAAACTGCGCTCCGCCAACTGACGGCCACCGAGGACTTCGTTGGACCCGTGCTGGACCGGGACGACCTCCTTGGCCGACCTCGTGGCACTCGGGACGCGCCTCGTGGGAGTCGCTCGCGCTCGAGGAGCCCGCTACGGGGGATGAGCGCTGAACGAGCTGCAGCTGGTGAACCTGTACCTGGGGACGGTGCAGTACCCGACGTTCTACCTGGCCGTGAAAACGCTCCTGCTGCTGTACCTGCCGTTCTACCTGGTCCTGAAGGCGCTGCAGTACCTGACGCACTACCTGGCCGTGAAGATGCTCCTGGCGTTCTACCTAGTCCTGAAGTCGGCCCAACCGTACTGGACGCTCTTGCCGGACACGGGGATGCGCCTTCGGCTAACGCTGCCGCACCACCCGGTCAAGGTGACTGCCCTGGGGAACTTGGTGAAGCTGGTTGTCCTGGTGCTGCAGCTCCAAGGGGTGTACCTGCTCTACTGACACCAGCCTTTCAACCTGATCAAGTCGAACCTCGTGACACCGGTCCTCCTGCCCGTGGTGTTGATGTTCAAGGAGATGCACCCGCTCTGCCTGCACAAGCTCCCCTACCTGACTTGAGCACTACTACCTCAGATGGGTTGACCGGGCTGGTGGTGAGTCCTGAACCAACAAGTGAGATCGTCTGATCAGCCATAAGCCGAGTCCGAAGCAGATCAGCAACAACCCGGGTCTACACAACTGCCCTACTGGGATGTATGCTGAAGTTCTTGTGTGTCTTTTGAGAAGTTGTGCAAGCCTCTATGAGGCAGGCCCTGCTGCTACAGAAAAGGTCCGATGCACCTTAAAAAAAAACCCTAAACTCCTAAACCCTAAGCCCTAAGCAGCCTTCTCTTGTTAGAAGGTTTTGGAAGTTGTTTGAAGGTTTCATGTTCACCAGGGCAGATGCACCAAGCAAATCAAATTTAGCCGGATTTGGTTTAAACAGCGCTTTCTCCACCCGTTTTTTTGTGGTTTCAGAAGGGATGCAAGAGTGTTGATACGGTTGATGATACAAATCCTGGATTATAATAAGGAATATACAACAATTCCCATAGTCTAGGGTAACATAAGGTAATGCAGGATTTATATCATCAGCGGTATCCCCGCGCCAGCCGTCCGAGGGCCTTGCCTGATGCCCCGAATGACAACCCCTAAGGACATCTGGGCGTTTCCGAAAACGAGGGGCTCCTTTAAAGGGATCTATAAGGGTTCCTTTTAAGGGTTGCTATAAGGGATCTACAGGATTTAGGGTTTAGGGCTTGGGAGTTTCGGAAAATTAGGGGGACCTTATTTTGGGGTCCTTGTAATACGGATCCTACTATCCGGGGTACTATAGAGAGGTCCCTATTTTCGGAAACAGCCATATAGGCTTGAATATCTAGGATAGAGTTCTTCAAAGGGTTCCTTTTTCTCAACCCCGAACCTGAGACCCAAACCCTCAACCCTGGACCGCAAACCTTAAACCCTAAACGCGAATAGTTTGAGAGTCCAAGCCTAAATCGCATAAAAAAGCCTAACACGTAAACCCTCAACCCAGAACCGAGGACCACAACTCGCAACCCCAACACGTAACCGACCTAACCTAAGACCAAAAAACTTTACCGCTCTTAGGAATTATGCTGTACTTGTCTTACAATAGAACTCCAGGGGGTTAATGAGAATACTGAAGACTGAAAGTTACCAATACCATTGTGGTGGTTCCTTTCTATGATTCTAGTAGTATATGCACAAAAACCGTATTCCAATTATTAAGGCCCCTACATTATTTTTATTCTCGTTCCAAGGGTGCCTAAGTAGACCCAAAGGATCAAGAGGGGTTCTATACGGGTTCTATGAGGGTTCTACCCGGTTCCAAACGACGGCTTAGGGCCGCAGGGCTGTAGTTTCTTTTTGCTAGCTTGGGCTCAGGATTTCAGGTGCAGGCCCCGGTTTCTATATCCCCAAGCGCGAAAGACACCAAGCCCCGGAAACCCTACACCAGACACCAAGGCTCTAAACCTTGATCATTGCGGTTTAGGGTTTAGTTCATGGGTTTCGGGTCTAGGGTTTACCTGCCCCAATCCTTGAACCTTCTTTTCATGATGCTTGGAGGCCTGGGTCACATACAAAAACGCCGACTGCATCGTGATCCTGGGGACCAAGGCAGGGCCCCAACAAAAGCACATAAGCAAAACTAAGGTTAGGGATATCCCATATAAACCCCCTCATAATGGAGCCCAGTAAGGTAGGGATATCCCTATAAAATGCTTATGCTTATGTGCTTTTTGTCCAAGGGTAAATGGAGGGACCCTTAATAAGGACCCCTAGGTATATACCCTTAATATAGCCATTATATACCCATTAGATAGCCCATTTTGGGGGTCCACATTAAGGGTCCTTTGATTTTGGGAGAAAGGCAGGGTCGGGCTGTCGAGTTGGGACGAAGCTCCTGCACGGAGCTTTCCCTGGCGCTGTGTTCATCATCACTAAACCCTAAACCCTGAACCCTAAACTCAAGGCCTAGGCGGCCCGCCTCCGTGGGTGAAAGGCCCTCGACCTCGATGGCGCAGAGTGACCCAGTACGCTTGCCCGCCTCTCCACAGCCATGGGACCGTAGCACGCACGTCGTGCCCGGTACCGGAACGTGTTCTCCTCGGGACCAGTATTGATCCCTCTATAAAGTCAATACCGTAAATTTCGAGGTCCGCGCCCTCGGGGTGGCTGCCTGGTCAGGGCCCCCGCAAACCTGCCCTGTCCTGCCCCTGCCCTTGGGTTTGGGCCTAAGGGCCTAAACCCTTAAAGGAATAGGTTTGGGTGGCTTGGCCGCCTTATCGGCTTGGGGTGGGAAAGAAGGAAAAGCCTTCCATAGACCGGCTTTCGCAACTTGTCGCCACAATACGATGCACTCGACACAAACCTTGTCGCAAGATATTATCGCCTACGCGCTACTCCACGGCAAACCCTAAACCCTAAACCCCTAAGCATGATTGTCTTAAACAACAATCTAGACGAAACCCAAGTGCCTAAATCCTAATCACCATCACCATGGTCCTCGGGACCATGCACATCATTGTCCATGTTTGATGGTTCTGATGACAATCGTGCTGCTGCTGGTGGTGCTCGACAATATGTTATCATCGTCTTTGCAATACTCCTCATGATTGTCGTCATCTTCTCCATCCTCACCAGCCTTTCGCCGTGCTCACCCTCATCCTCATTGATCCATCTGCCTTTTCCTCCTCCCCGCCGTGATCTTCGTATCGTAATCGTCATTGTAGTTGAAAATCCTTACAACATGGTGAGGGTTCTGTCTGGCGACGACGACGATCAGGACTATCACTGTGATTGCCGGCATTCTTGTTGTATCTAATCGTCGTCTGCGTCTTGCGGCTGCATGTGTTGATAATGTTGGGGCGAGTGCTATTGCTTTGTTCCCTGTCTTTGTCGGTAGTGGTGGTGATTTCATCGGTGATGGTGGTCGTGGCGGCGGTCCTGGTGTTCCTAGTGGAGGCAGTTGCAGCTGTCGATCTTGTTCTTATTGTTCTTGGTCTTGTCGGCTTTGTTCTTGTTCCTGTTGTCGTTCTCTTTCTTTTACTCGTTAGTTTGTTCCGCTTGACCTTGTCGTTGTGGTCGTCATCAGTATTGTCGCACTGGCTGTGGGTGTTCTCACTAGAGGCACGGCTGTCAAACAGAAATCATTCGGTCAGGCATTCTGCAGGGCTCCTCCTCCTCCCTCCTTTGCCCCCTCCTCCTCCTCCTCCTCCTCCTCCTCCTCCTCCTCCTCCTCCTCCTCCTCCTCCTCCTCCACATCATCATCACAATTGTCATCACGATAACCACCCAATAATCATAACCGTCATCATCACCAGCTGTAAGAGCATCGGAATCAGAATCACCTTCACCTTGGCCATCATCGCCACCACCACCATCGTCGCGATCACCACCAACACCACCTGCACACCATCACACCATCACCAGCATTACCACCAGTACCACCATCAGCATACCATGACCACCATCACCACCATCACCACCATCACCATTACCACCGTCACCACCATCACCACCAGCACCACCACCAGCAGCACACACATCAGCACCAATATTTGCAACGAAGTGCTTGGTGCTCTCCACAACCACGCAGCTGGAAAAACCGTCCCTCTCCTGGTTTAGGGTTTAGGGTTTAGGGTTTAGGGTTTAGGGGTTTAGGGAATAATCTGAAGCTCACAGCGCCGAAAACAGTGGAATCCGTGAACCCAGGCGCAGCCAACCAAAGTCAAACAGTTCAAGAAGTCCGAGGCCGTGGAGGGAAACCCCTCGAACCCTAGGCTAAAAGCTCTTCAGGAGGGAGGGAGGCAGCTTTGGGTGTCGGGTTCAGGATCAAGGCTTTATTACCTGCAGTCATAAGGTCATAACCTTTTTCCTGTACCGCCTGTACCCCGAATTATACGGCCTGTACCCCGAAGCCGCAAGCCCAAGTGCCAAATTTTCGCAGTTTAAAATACCAAATCCCTAAACCTCGAAGCAGGTAATATACGGCCCTTGAGAGTTACCTATATTTTATAGTATAATGGACCCCCAAACCCTGTTCTAATTATTAAGGCCCCTACAGTAGCCTGAAGCCTAAGCTTTCAACCCTGGAAGCCAAAAGTCTTTAGGCTTTGGGAAAAGCTGGGATTTGTTTGGTTGTGGTTTAGGGTTTAGGGTTTAGGGTTTTTGGTCGTAAGTTTTGGGGTTCTGTCGGGGGTCCTAGGGGATGAGGCTCTGGACAGGGGGGCTCGGAACGCAGCGATTTTTGATTTCAGGGTTTCGGGTAACTACGCTGTCACATAGCTACAGTTACACGTTCGTTGAGCCAGCGCGAATAATGTTTCGGGATTTGGGTCTATAGATCGTGGCTCACACTTCTGGGATCAGGCCCATCAGAGGAATCAGATTGCGTAGCGGCGTTGGGAATCCGTACACGTTCTGCTACCTTCGTCAGCTACCTTCGCGTCACAAAAGGGTGCAGGATGGGAGGTTCGGTTTTCCTTCATGCGATTCGTCTTCAGAAGGGCCCGCCACCCTTACCTTGAGATCCTGGTTCCATCAGAAGGTTGTGTCTGGTTCACTAGGCCTTGAGCCCTTGGGAATTAGTATTGATATCGGCTGCAACGTCTGCAGCTTGAAATAGGTAAACCCTTTCCTACTTGTCAACCGTCAACCCCTACTGTATATGATGATTATAAAAAAGCATTAAAATACACAAACCCTAGACCAGCTATCAATCTCTACCTGCCACTCATATCAAACACCCAAGCCTTTGTTCTGATTTTGTTGAGACCTTCTTTCGACCTGGTGGCCCTAAGACTCAGAAGCCCGGTGAGAAGTCTCCACAGTAACCATTTACCTTGCTTGAGGAATATACTTTGAATTGCGTAGCCCTAAACCCTAAACCGCTGTATTCCCAAACCATGAAGCCTAAACCGACCTTCATGCTCCTGTTGGCTATCGTCATACACGAACTTATCCCTAAACCCTAAACCCTAAACCCTAAACCCCTTCGGTGTATTGGGCTCCAAAGCCCCCAATGACCCAAATGGGAGTTTCCGGAATTAGGGGTACCATATTTTTGGGGTCCTTATAATAAGGATCCTACTAGAAAGGGTACTATATTGGGGTCCCCTATTTTCGTCCCAAATGACCTATGAAGCGACAAACCCTATCATTACCCTCAGGACCCCAAAATCCTAAACCCCCAGTCCCTGGCACCCCTATAAACACCAAACGTAACTTTAACACCACCAACACCCCAAGTGCCCTAGAAATCAATGAGAAACCAAAAAACCCCAAGACGACGCCATACACCCAAAACCGAAAACCGAAAACCCTAAACCCTAAGCCATAAACAACAGCCCTGCACTGTAAAACCCTAAAGTCGCTTAAACCAGGGGTCGGAATTCCTAGGAATACTCCTCCCTTTAAGATCCCCGTATACAACTAGAAACAGTATAATGTACGGCGGCGAAACCCTGCTCCAATTATGACAATGAAGGGTTCTGAAGGCCCCCTTATATTAGACTCTCTGGTTCTCTTTCTTCGCGGCATCCGTGAGGTCTCTCCGAGTCGGGTCTCGGCGATTCTGGGGCTTAGGCCGGCTCTTCCCTGGGGGGTTTGGGCAGGTTTGGGCTTGAGGCTCAGGACGTAGGTTTTTTTGTTCCGAGAAGTTTTGGCAAAGCATTGTTCCTGGTGTGTCGACGTAGGGATTTCAAGGGCCTTCCTTCTGTTGTCGGGCCTTCGGGGGGCTGCAATGTAAAGGTCTGTACTATACCCTTAGAGTCCCCATGTTGACTCTACAGGTTCTATTTATCATGCGCAGCCTACATCGATTCTCTTTCTCTCTCTCTCTCTCTCTCTCTCTCTCTTTCTCACTCTGCCTGTCTCTATAGTCTTATGTTACCTCTGAATATCAAGCAAGAATAGTAGCACCATAAGAATAATACAACAGCTATCGTCATGGGTATTACAAATGAGAGCATAATATTACATTTACTAGCAATAAGAACAATCGTCATACTGTTAACCATGGTTAAGATATTAGAGAAGAGACAACCGTATTCTTTCAGACATTGGGAATAATACTAATGGAACAATACAAACAGTAGTCAGAATAAAGATCATGATCATGATAATGGAATTAATAGCTATTGTAATGATAGTGATTATGGTTACAATAACAAAATACTTGTACTAGTAGCAGCAAAAGTGCTACTAACAACAACACTCATAGTCACAGAAAGTCTAAATACTAGTGATGGTAGTAATAGTAACAATCACAGTGTTTCTACTAGTAGGAACAAGAGTAAGCATAGAACCACACACGGTTATGCTATGTTGTTTGTGGTTGTTTCTGCTGATTGATGTTGCTACTTGTCTTGATGTTGATTTTTGTCTTCTCATTCTTGTTAGTATTCCCGTTGTCATTATTGTACGCATCATTGCCAGCTTCTTATTCTTAATATTGTTATTATTGTCATTTTGTAAATACGATAAAAACATATATGTATATATAGGCATTCCTTGCAGGACCTTGGTGAATCGAGTCCGAAAGGGCAAAGATGACCCGGACGAGGACAAAAAAACGGACACCAGCAACAGCGAAAAGGAGGCCACTCAAGATGCCTTTGATGCCTCCTACTATACGGTTGCTCTTAAAGGGGACACTATAATTGCTCTACAAGGGGATACTATAATTGCTCTAAAAGGGGATACTATAAAAGGGGATACTATAATTGCTCTTAAAGGGGATACTATAATTGCTCTTTAAGGGGGCACTATAATTGCTCTTTAAGGGGTATTCGGGTATGGGGTACTATAATGGCTTTTTAAGGGGTACTATAAGGGTGTTTAGGGTTTAGGCTTGATCTCTGCTTGACGGTTCATGGTGGAGAGTTGAGGGTTTCGGATGAAAGGGTGCGCAGTTGCGGCGTTAATGTAGGAATCTGATGAAGAAACCGTGGTCATGTAACCCCCAAATAGTAGGATTCATAATAAGGAGCCCGAGCAAAGGTCCAAGGTTCCTTAATCAGGTTCCTACATTAGGGTCGATAGTTTCGTTTCAATTTTTGCTGGGTTGCCCAAACCTCGAACCTGAAGCCCTAAGTAAGCTGAGCTCTTGTTGGGGACTTTAGAAATTTTCTGCTTGCCTTATCATTGTACTTGACATTAAGCCCCGTACTAACAAACCCAGCAAGCAGAGGCCCGACACTATTTCAACATGAAAACATAAAGATGAAGACATAAAGGGAACTCCAGAAAGATGGAATATGGAATAGTGGCAGGATCCCCTATATTTTAAATTAAAGGGATTATGATAATGATATTCCAACTTTCTGGCTTCTACTGTAAGGCACCAAGCCCAACAAGTCTTAATCCTTCAGTACAAGATTTTTATTCCCAGCCGCTCAGAAGCACCGTGCCCAAGCAGGGACGGTGCAGTGTTGTTTAATCCGGAGTGGAGGCCTCGAGCTTGACGTCATCATTTGGGGTTCAGGGCCGAGCAGAACCTAAACTAAAGCCCGAAGTGAATTATGGTTTAGGTGGACTCCCCTCCCCAAGAGGTACTACAGGACTCTGTACTAGGGTTTCTTGTAAGGGTACTATAAAACTCCAAAACATTCCCTATAAGGGCAGATGAGAAATAGAGTTTGCCAGCGGGATGTGATGGTTGGATAGCAAGGCCTCGTAAGGACTACAGGGCACGCCGAGGCAGGACGTTGACTTTGAGTGCCCGTGAGCACTAGTACCGCTTAGCAGCGCTCTCCAAGACTTGTACTGCAAAGCGCTGGTGAGCACTAGTAGGGACTGGTGAGCACTAATGAGCGCTGGTGAGTGCTAGTGAGAGCTGGTGAGGCCATATCAACTTGCAGCCGGGCAAGCAAAGTTCAGAGATTTGCTCCAATCCAACTTCTGCAAACACCCTTAGCAGCAAACTTCATTTGCCATCCCCCCTTAGGGGCATAGTCATAATTCAATATAATTCACGAATGCCTCTCCGCAAAAAGCCACGGGCTGCGGGGTTTAGGGTCGTGCGAGGATCAAGGGATTTAGGGTTAAGGGTCGGGGTGTAGGGTTTAGGGTAACCCCAAATCCCGAAGGACTTTCTATTCCAAAAGGGTTTGGCGACGCCAGGAAGAAGAGCAGCCGAGCAGCTCTTCCAGCGATGACGAGAGTCCGACCCTTTGATCATGCCTGCCGGGATTTGGAGGAGGGGGTTTCCGAAAATAGGGGACCTTAATTTAGTACCCTAAATAGTAAGATCCTTATTATAAGGACCCCAACATAAGGTACCCCTAATTTTTGGAAACTCTTCTACATCTGGCTTTTCGGGTTTTACCGATTCCTAACCCCCCAAACCCCAAGAACCTCGCGTCCGAATTCCCTCAAAATCCCCAAACGCCTGCTAAACCCAGCATGAAGCCGCCTAAGAATTTTTGGATGCGCCCTTTCCCCTAAACCCTAAGTAAGGCCGAAGTCCTATATGTAATAACCCTAGGCCCTAAACCCTACCCTAAACCCCGAAGCCCGAAACACCGACACCCAGATGCTTGCCCGAATCGCTGAAGCCTAATGCCCTAGTCGCTAGACCACCATACCCTTACAAGTAAACCCTAAACCCCGAAACTCTTAATGGCCCTTAAACCTTAGGGTCCAGGGTTAGGGGTTCGAAGCCCCAAAACTTTACAGAAATCGGATAAACCCTCCCAACATCTCAACATCTCAAGACGTATTTGTGGCAAGACCTTGTCAATCCCCTATCAAAACCTCCAAACCTTTAACCCTAAACCCTAGACCCTAAGCCCTAAACCCTTTCGGACGCATTGTCGGAGAAAGGGTGCAGTTCAACTTTAAAGGAGATCTAACCATTGATATTATGGGAGCTAAGGATCCAGGGATGATGATAATCCCTATTAAATAAGGAGCTAAAGAGGTAAGGGAATCCCAAAACCACTGGTTAGAGATCCTTTCGGAGTCCACCCAAGGCTCGGAAGGACTGGAAGGAGTGGACAGCGGTCTCGGGGTCCGGGACTCGGCTTGGGGTTTGAGGACTTCGGGTGTTGGGATTAGGGTTTAGGGATTAGGGGTTTAGGGATTAGGGTTTCGGTTTAATTCGGGTTGAGGGTTTAAGGATTAGGGGTTTGGGGTTTGGAGTATAGGACTTCGGGTTTAGGGTTCAGGGTTTTAGGGTTCAGGGTTTGGATAGGCTTCGAGGTTTAGGGTGGAGGGTTTCAAGCAGGCATCTGGGTAATTGCGTTTCGGGTTCGTTTCTGTTCCGTTTGGGTCCTTTTGGGGGTCCGTTTGGGATCCGTTTCGGGCGACCTGCCGGAACTAAAGCGGCAACATGCGCACATGAAGCACAGCGAGTAGGACCTTGTCATGCCCTGAATCATGACACATGATCCTCTGTAAAATCGTCCCGGTGAAGGGTCCGTGTCCTTTCGGGTTCCTTCGATCTCAGCCCCGAAGCCCCTCCATCGACAAATTCCTAGCCGTAGGGCCCTACACCCCGTAACCTCCTCAAACCTCGAAGTGAAGAACCCTATGGGAGTTTCCAAAAATTAGGGGTACCTTAGTTTGGGGTTCTTATAATAAGGATCCTACTATTTAGGGTACTATATTGGGGTCCCCTATTTTCGGAAATCCCCATATGTCAACAGGAAAAGGACACATGGATCAACTCTTAAAGGGCTGTTTCTTAGGCCTAAGAAGTCCCGCGCCCCGCTCGGATTCAAAGTGAGAGTTGCCGAGGAGTCTCCGGTTGGCTTCCATCGAGTCAGGGCAGGCTGGCGTGCTTTTCGATGTCCTGGATTCTTGGAGGTTCATGGGTAGCTGTAAATGGGGTTATAAGTCCCCTAATAGGGGTTATCACGCCATAGTTACCCCAATTATAACCCCACTTATAACTACCCATGAATCTCCAAGTAGGGTTTGGGAGCTAGGGTTCAGGGCTACGCTTAGGGGGTGGTTCAAGGGGAAAGTCAGGGAGTACCAGGCCCAGGCAGAGTAGGGTACTACTAGGTTCTTGGGAGGAAGGAAGGAAAATGGCAAACTCGATAGCCTGGAAGAAAAGGAAGCCCGACGCACACATTGCGATAAGCAAGGCATGAATTAGTCATACTATTCCTCAGGGCCTTAGTGCTCCGCAAAGCTATTACTAGTACGATCATCATAGTGTTAAATGCCTATTCTTGGCACATCAAAAGAAGTTGCAGGAAAGGCTCCAAGAGCTCCGCGCATTTCTTCTGGGTCGAAGGTCTTTGTTGGCGTCTGGGCTTTTGGGGTTAGGGGGTCGTAAAGGGTTTGGGGTGAGGTTACAGTGTTTTAGGGTTTCGGGTATTAAGGTTTAAGGGGTGTTAGGGTTTGATTTTGAAGGGTTTTAGTGGTTTGGGGTGTCGAAGGGTTGTAGGCTTTGGGGATGTTAAAAGGTTTATTCATGCCATCCTTCGTATTAATTCTTCATCTCCGAAAGCGGAGGTTTCCGAGGGGTAGGAATTAGATTTAACCCTAAACCCCAAACCCTCAACCCTAAACTCCAAACCCTCGGCAATAAACCCTAAATCCTAGACCCCAAACCCTAAACCCTAAACCCTAAACCCTAAACCCTAAAAGGAGCCTGTGAAGGAAGCCTTCTGGGTTCATTTCCTCTTGGGCCCAGCTGTGAGGGGATCCGTTTTTGGGGGCTCAGCAGGGACTCTTCACTTTTGTAGAGTCGAGCCCCTTTCCCCAGGGATCTAAGGACTTATACATGAAGGCTTTTGGGCCCACAGACCATACTACATAAGGCTTTTGGGCTATCTTGATCCCTAGGGTTTCATGCTGGGATGCCGAGTAGTACCCTTATTCCCTTGTTGTAGTCCTAGGTTCCTTATACAGTTTCCCAATACCAAAGAGGGAGCCCTTTCATTCCTAGTCATGCTAAATCCTACACCCGAAAGTTTAAGTCCCAACCTTGAAATCCCAAAAACCCAAAGTTTAGACTGTTTTCATCTCAAGTCCCTGCATACACCCCAGAAACCCCTGCACCTCGCAAACTCTGAAAACCGCCTACAAGCCCGCTACAAACCCTTATCAGGCCATTTTAAACAGCTGTATATAAACCCCTACCAGAACTTTACCACCCTATACAGCCTGTGTGACACTGCATACACCCCTCGCAAAACCCATTCAAAAATACCATAAGACCTCTTGAAGCCCTAAGCCTTAGCCCGCAAACCAGTCGCAAACCCCAGACCCTGAACCCTGACCTAAACCCTAAACCCTATAAACTCCAAACCCGAAACCCTAACCCTGAACCCTGACCACTAAGCCAAAAGTCGGGGCTTCGACAGGCACCGCCGGCGACGAGATACGTTCGAGGGTGAGTTCGAACGCGGGGTCCTCACGGGGTTGTTTAGGGCTGTAGGGGTTTAGTAGGGTTTACCTTATATAACCCTGAATAACCTACCTTTTCGGGTTCCTTATTATGATTTCGTTATATAGATCCTTAAAAAGGTAGGTTATTCAGGGTTTAGGGTTTAGGGCCTTAGGCAATCTGAGAATCAGCGCGAAGGCCCTGGGACCATCGTCTGGAGTCGCAACCCTTCTGGAGAGAAGCACTGACTGCCTCAGGGTTTAGGGTTTAGGGTTTAGGGTTTAGGGTTTAGGGTTTAGGGTTTAGGGTTTAGGGTTTAGGGTTTAGGGTTTAGGGTTTAGGGTTTAGGGTGTGCTCATGCGCTCCGTTCGTGTGTGTGTGTGTGTGCGAAAGCGCACGTTCTTTTGGCGCATTTTGACCCCAAGCCCGAGACCGACAATCTCGGATTTGGCAGCAAAAATTGCCCTAAACTAAACCGTTGCCGTGAACCCTACCAGCCTGAACAACACCTGAAACCGCTGTCTTGCTCCTAACAGTCTGTCATCCTCGAAGCACCTTCTAAGCCCCAAACCCTTTGCCCCAAACCCTAAACCCCAAATGCCCCAAGCCCTAAAACCTAATTCCTAATGTAGGAACCTGATTAAGAGACCCTGGGCCTACCCCAAGATAGTCGGATTCATACAAGGAGCCCTAACAACGGCCCAACTTTGCATCAGGTTCCTGCATTAAACCCTGAACCCAATTCTAGGCAGAAACTCCACACCCGGGGGAGTCTCGGGAGGGTTTCTTAAACCAGGGTGCAACGGCTTAGGGTCTAGGGCTAGGGTTTCGGGAGGTTAAGGGTTTAGGGTCTTAGGGTTTAGTTTCCCAACATTGAGAGTTTAGGGTTCTTACAGACTGGAGGTCCTCGAAAGAGGAGCAAACCGTAGCAGAGCCAAGCAGTGAAGCAACATGAAGGGCTGGCACGCCCACCGAACTGCACAGAGCCATAGAAGTCTTCAACCGCTAGCAACTGTTTTAGACATAACACAAGAAAGCCTGCGGCCGAAAACCCGAACCTCCACACCGCAAATCCCAAATGCCCCGAACCCTGAAGCCTTGAACCTCCAAACCTAGGGTTAAGGGTTTAGGGCACAGGCCCAACAAGACCCTAAACCCTAAACCCTAAACCCTACACCCTAAACCCTAAACCCTAAACCCTAAACCCTAAGCCTGCAGGCATCAAAGTCGTCGAAAACGCACACCGTTGCGGCCTCGATAGCCTCGGTTGGCACCGCCACGACCTCGGGGGGGGGGGGGGGGGGCAGTGCTGTAGGGCCTTGATTTGAGGGCTCTGGGGGTTTAGGGTTTGGGGTTTAGGGTTTCTGACTTATGTTCTTTTTTGGAGATCCGGGGTTTTGAGTTTAAGGGCTCTCTCTGTTTTGTCTTACTGCTGCTTTGTTTTAGGTTTAGGGTTAGGGATTTCGGTGTTAGACCAGGCTGCTGGTGTGTTTTATACAAGGTCTTGATGGGTTTTACCGGGCATTGTGGCGCTTTTACAAAAAAGGGTTAACACATGTGGCCTTATTTTTGAGATGGGGTTTCATTGAGGGTCCTGAAAAAAGTGCTCTGTAAGGGTTGCGATAAGGTGTAGTATCAGGGCTCTATGGTAGAACAAGGTTATGTTGGGTTATAAGGGTGGTACAGTTGGAAACAGGGTTGCAAAGGGTTTTGAACTTTGATAAGGTGCACCGATTGACAGGGGTATGGTTTATAGGGACCTGAGCATTCAGACTTGGGTTGCCGTAAAGGGCTCCGTTTCCAAGGTTACTACAAGGGTCAGTATGGGCTTCTTCTAATGGTTCGAACAGGGCTTGGAGTACAACTCATACAAACACGACGCCAGACGTTCAGTCGGGTGGTTTGGAGCTTTTCAAGAGTCGCCTTGCGGCAGAGGAGGTGCCGACTCCGGACCTCCCCCATTTCTAGGTTCATGCAGATGATGTGGGTCTGCACATGATGTCAAGAAATGCCCTCCGCTGCTACGGTTGATGATATAAATCCTGCATTACCTTAAGGACCCTAAACTATGGGAATTTTGGTATGTTCCTTATTATGGGTCATGCAGGATTTATATCATCGACCGTAGAGCATAAGTCGCTGAAGGTTTTTCAATCGGCTTAGGGCAGAGCGTGCACTGTTCTCGGCCAGAGGGCATTGAAATGCCCTCCTCTTCTGGTCATTCTTGGCACTCTGGGCGCACTCAGCGCATGCGTTCTCACACAGGTTCTACCGCCAACAGTGGTCGCGAAGCTTGAACTCTTGCCTGGTCGGAAAGAAGACAAGCGAGGGCAGGACGGGACTAGTCCAGGCCTGTGGCTCCGCTTACCTTTGGCTAGTAGGGAACGGCAGAAGGGTAGTAATAGTAGTTGTATTTGTACCCCATTCTTCCATTCCCTGCTAACCGAAGGTAAGTCCGAGGGCAGTCGTGCCGGAAGGTACATTCTGTTCTTGGGCGTGCCCAGGTCCATCTCCTCACGGCCGCATGAAGTTTGAGTCAGCAACTTATTAGGGATCCCAAAAGCACATAAGCATGAGCATTTTATGGGGACATCCCTACCCTATTGGGCTTCATTTTAGGGGCTTTGTTTCCATTGCACCAACTCAGCTCCGAATGCCTAGAGCTCCAAAACAGAAAGCCTCAAACCGCTTTCTGTCTAGGGTGAATGGTAGACCACTTCTGGGGATCCTCGGCAGGACTGGACAAGTCTGGGATTGTAATACACAATATGCAGTATGTACCGCATAAGTACTAAAGGCTAGGTAACATGTGATATATATATAATATATAATACAAACTGTATCTGTAAGACTTGGAAGTCCAAAAACAGTACTGTATCGTGTAGAACTTGATTATGGTTTTAGGGTTGACGGTGCGACGTGACAACGTTCCCTCATCTCTTTGGTCTCCAGCGGGCCCTTTTCCTTTTTTTGATCTCAGCTTGCCTAGCACCTATCAACTACCAAAAAGGGAGCCCGTTCTATTTATTCCTAGATTAAGTATTGGTGATCCGAGAGTGTCCTTTAACTTTCATTTTGTGGGCGGCTAATTCCCCAGGATTGTCGGGTTAGGTCCGCTTTGAGGTTTTGAGTTGAAGGCGCAGGGTTTGCAAGTTTGGTTGCAAGTCTTCAACCTTCAGCCCTGGAAGACTCCGTGATAGAGGAATATATCTGACAACTCAATGAAGCCCTAAACCCTGAATCAAGGAGATTTACAGTAAAGCATTGCCAACAGAAACCTAGTACTCGCTCTCTTCCACCCAAACCACTCCTCCTGCAAAGGTGAACAGCTTGCAAATACCCGGGCCATAAAACCCCTAGGTGAACAGCTTGCAAATTCCCGGGCAGCCCAATCGATCTCGCCGCGGTGTGAATGACAGCGAGGCCGGAACCTTTGCAAGATACTGTTTAGGGTTTAGGGGTTTAGGGTTTAGGGTTTCTGTGCAAGATACCGACGCTGGACCTGCATACGACGAGAATGCGTGTCGACGGTGGTCTGTGTGCATGCGTGTGTCGTGGGTAAACATATGTAGGTAGGGAGGGAGGGAGGTAGGTAGGCACGTACGTCGGCATGTGTTTATTCATGCTTGTCCACATGGCCGTATGTCCGACTGTTCACATGCATGCAAGTATGCATGCACCTGTGTCTGTATGAACGTATGTATGTGTGTCTGTCGGTATGTATGATGTATGTATTCAGGTATGCATGTGGGAAGGTAGGTACGTGCGTACGTACGTAGGCATGCATGCATGTACGCATGTTGTATGTATGTCGTATGTATGTATGCATGTATGCATGTGTGGATGTTTGCATGTATGTATGTATGTAGGTAGGTAGGTATGTATGATGTATGTATGTATGTGTGTATGTGTGCATGTATGTGGGTATGTTCGTTGTGTAGATTGTGACGGTTTGTTCTAACTGTGACAAATTATCCCAAGCATGAACGTCAAAGTCCGAAGCTGCAGCCTGATAACTCTGCGACCGGCACCCTCAACCCAGGAAGCTCCGGTGTTTTGGGAGGGCTCGAACATGTTTTGGACTATGAAGGGTTTAGGGGTTTAGGGTTTAGGGGTTTAGGGTTTAGGGTTTAGGGGTTTAGGGTTTAGGGGTTTGAGGTTTAGGGTTTAGGGTGTCCTTGTCACACTCTAAGGTTTACTTCTCGTGTAGGGGTGGGATGCTGCGCTGTCATATCCTGCCTGCCAAGCCTTCCGCTAAGGGTCCAAAGGACCCAATAATTAGGCACTCGGTTTTAGGATAGTAGTTATGCAGGTTAGCATCTTGGAGAGTATATGATTACGAGGTACTCGGACCCTTAGGGTTCCTTACGAACGAGGGTCGGGGCAGCGGGGCCCTGTCGCAACCCACGGCAATGCGACAACTCCGACGTCCGAAACCAAACCGAGACGGGACTCTGACAACTGACGGTTTAGGGTTTAGGCCAAAATCTGATGCAGCCCCAAGATCTACGGTTGATGATATAAATCCTGCATTACCTTAAGGACCCTAAGCTATGGGAATTATGGTATATTCCTGATTATGGGTAATGCAGGATTTGTATCATCAACCGTAGTTCCAAAACGCAGCCAGTGACACGCACACGCGCAGGAGAACAAAGCCATGCAGCCCCCCCCCCGCCCCCCCCACACAGCAGCCCCCTCCACACGAGCTACACGCATGCACACATGTACCTTCTCTTGATGCTCGCCCCCGAACCAAACTGCCCCGAACCCGATTGAAACCCTAGTATAGAAGCCTGTAGAATTGGGAATGCGGTTACTTAGCCTTAGAGTACCCCATTAGTAGTATACTATAGTGACAACAATCATCCGAATCCATATTCTAAATACCAGGATCTCCATTCCTTCAAGGGGAACCATGAAGGTTCTACAGGGATTCGGGTGCATTCTACTTACTAAGATCTCTATGGCAAAAGCCCCCAAAGAATCTCACGTCGCAGGTCAAAGCGGCCCTCGCAGTCCATCGTCGCCAGTCGATTGGGCCCGGGGACCAGGCAAGGAGATGTGAGGGGGTGGCCTTAGGGTTTCGGGTTCAGGGTTTAAGGTTGAGGGTTTAGGGTTTAAGGTTTAGGGTTTAGAGTTTACGGGTTCGGGCTCGGAGGGTTGAGGGTTGAAGCTCGGAGGGTTGAGGGTTGAGGATTGAGGGTTCAGGGTGGGTTTTGGGTTTCAGCTTCAGTTCAGGGTTTCGGGTTTAGGGTGAGGCTTTCGGTTTTTTTTGGTGAGGGTTTCGGGACAGGGTTTTCTAGACTGTCGGTGAGCGGTTAGCACGAGTTCTTTCCGGCAGGGAGGCCCAAAAGCCTCCATCCTATGCCATAAAAATGTACGAGTCAGGCCAGGCTTTCTCGTTTAGCAAGCAGAGTTTTGATTGAGTACTTGGAGGTTCATGGGTAGTTATAAATGGGGGTATAAGTCCCCTAATCGGGGTTATAACCATAGTTACCCTGATTATAACCCCACTTATAACTACCCATGAACCTCCAAGTATAGGCCGTATTGTCTGGTTATTCCCTTCAGTCCTTCTCGAATTCTCCCAGAATACACCTGCGACGCCCTGTTACAAAATCTGATGCTGTGTATGGGTTTAGGGTTTAGGGTAGTATTCTACCCAATGCCGTATTGTCACTGTTGGCTGACGCATCCGGGTGAAGGGGAATTGACTTGCCTAAATCCATGCGCGCCAGGCTGTCATCCCCATTATCCGCACTCTTTCGGAGAAAGGGGAACAGGACGGGATCTCGGGACCAAGAACACGATTCCCTGAACCCCACATCTGACATCCTGAACCTGCAATCTGAAACACAAACCCTGAGCCCTAAACCCGAGTCAGCAAGAGTCCGAATCGGGCGTGGGGTTTAAGTTTGAGGTGCCTTAGTGTGTGCCTAGCGATTCTAAGTTTATATCTTTACAGAGTTTAGGGCTTTAGTGTGTTTGGGGTTTGAGGTGGCTCATGTGATACAGGACTTAGGAAGCCTAGTGTTCAGGATTTACGGATTTAGGGACTTAGGGATGTATGGTGTCGGGCTTGAGAATTTGGCATTCGGGGTTTTAGGCTGTAGGCACGCTACACTGATGGCAGGACGCTAAAAGGAGTTGCGCAGTAGGGCTCATAAGTCTGAAACACAAAACCCTACATGCCGACAACTTCGTATAGGGGCCGTGCCAAGTGTATTTATTCCTACTCCTATAGTATATAACTATACACCCGATCGGAATTCACAGGCATTTAACAGTTGTCTTCCGCCAGCCACTGAACAGCCAGTGCTGCTCCAGAGTTCAGGGCTTTGGCTGTAGGTGTACTATAGGGACCTTGATAAGTACCCACACTATTTTGGGGGTTCCTTATTATCGTTACAGCATAATATCTATAGTAGGGTTCATAGAGGTGTAGCCGTGGTCCCCCTATAAACCCTGGGGACACCAGTTCCAACCCATAATTTCAACACCTAAAGGCTAAACCCAAAGCCCTGCGCCCTGAAGGCTAAACCCAACCACAGTAACGTCCGAGTCCAGCAACCGAAAAGTGGGCCCCGCTTGAAGCAATATTAAGAATCAGGGTAATGTCTAATATCTATATACGTGTAGCCGGCGAAACCTCTAAACCCTATAAACCCTAAACCCTAAACCCCTAAACCCAAAACCTCTAAACCCTAAACGCTAAACCTCTAAGCCAAACCCGAAACCCCCAAATCCTAAACCCCCAAGCCCTAAACCCTGAACCCCCGCATCCTAAACCCCTAAACCGTAAACCGGTAGAGCTCAGAACTTCGAGATGTGATGTCGCGCTTAGGATGGCCCACAGACTCCGATACCCATTAATTCAGCAAGACCTAGGCTTCCTTGAAGAGTTCCTACAAGGGATCCAGAGGGTTTTAGGGTTTAGGGGACTCCAATATCCCTTAATTAAGGGATATTCCCTTAATCATATTAGGGATCCTACTACAATTTAAGGTATCTTCCTTAAGGAAGGGATATTGGAGTCGCTGGGGACTCTTGGCTCTCAAGCCTTGAAAACCCTGAACCCTAAACTCAACGGATGTCAGCAGTCGTAAAAAGGTGCCCACAAGAAGCTCTAAACTCTAAATCGTTTGAGGGTTTAGGTAAATCTGGTTTCGAGTTTAGGTTTTAAGCCCCAAACTGCTATCTTAAGCCCTGCACCGTGAACCCTGAACCCCGAAACCCCTAAACCCCTAAGCCCCAAACCCTGCTCTCGCGAGGTTCAGCCTGAATCCGAGAGGCTCGCGCCAAGCTTCTGAGTCGCCTTTTCAGGGTTTAGGGTTTAGGGTTTAGGGTTTAGGGTGTTCAGAACCCCCAAGGAAGGAATGCACTTTAAGGGTTTAGGGGTTAGGGTTTAGGGCTGGTGTTCAGAACCCCCCCAGTTAAGGAATGCACTTTGAGGGTTTAGGGGTTTAGGGGTTTAGGGCTTGGGGTTTAGGGGTTTAGGGTTTAGGGTTGGTGTTCAAAACCCCCCAAAACGCCTCAATTATGGAATGCATTGTAGATTATCTTAGCTTTGGTTAATAGGGAACGGAGGAGTGGGGTACAAGTATAACTACTATTACTGCCATTCTTCCATTCCCTACTAACCAAAGGTAAGTTAAGGAATCCAGTTAAGGAATCCATCTTAGATTATTGGGTATTCAGAAACTGCAAAACCGCTTAATTAAGGAATACATCTTACCTTAACCTACCAAAACCCTGCTTCTTTGTAGGGTCCCTATAAACTCCGTATTCGGGTTCATAATAAGAACTACAAAAATTCGCGGGTTGGGCAGGTTAAGGTAAATTATAACAGGAACTGTAATATGATTGAAGGCATAATCTTGAACTGAAGGGTTTTGGGGTCTCTGGGTATTCTTGGGCCTTCTGTACGGGAACGGGTTCCTTCATTGAGGGTGAGGGCTTTCATGAGTTTGAGTTCAGGGTTGCCTACCCCTACCCAAACCCTAAACCCGTGCGTTTTGAGCCTTCCGTACCACAACCTGGCGAAACCACACAAGAGCAGCCAAGGGCCGGTGACAGCGCTCGCGTTTGACTTCGATTTCGAGCTGCCAAGTCATGATGGCTTGTATGGGAGGTCGGCTTTGTCCAAGGACATCACCACGCCGGGCGAGATAGAGCTATAGCCTGCTGGCTAGCCTGGTTGGCAGACGCCCAGCTCCTGGCCCGCGGTGGGTCGGATCCTGAACTACATCCAAAAAGTGCCGGCAAAGGCGCCTAGGGCAAAGGCGCCGGCGGCTACCAGCTCTGCTGCAGCAAGGGCAGTGCATGGCAGTGCAACGTTTGTAGGGTTTTGGGGTCTTGGGTTTTAGGGTTTAGGATTTGGAGTTTAGTGGCAATCATGGCAGCCATGCGCATCATGGACGTGATTGTCGAGATGACTGCAATACCTGAAGTACAGTCGGTAGTGATGAAGATGACAACAGTGACGTGCATGGTAAGACTATATGTCATGTTCATCTGGCATCACTTGGAGGTTCGTGGGTAGCTTTAAGTGGGGCTATAATTAGGGTAACTATGGTTACAACCCTTATTGGTGGACTTATAGCCCTATGTATAATCACCCATGAACCTCCAAGCAGTGACAAGTTTCAAACATGATAAACGTGCAGCTCGAGGCTGAACAGTGCCCCTGCTATCTCTGATACTCAAACTCACATGGGCAGGACAGTTGCCGCTGGTACTACACTGATGGTATCTTGTATCAACCTCACAACACTGACGTTGGTAGTCTGTTGAAGGTGTTTAGGGGTTTAGAGTTTAGAGTTTAGGTAATATAATTTCTACCACGTAGTTTTACTTGTTTGCTGTCTGCGGCAGGTCGCCACTGAACGGCGAGGGCAACACTTCGGCACCTTGGCTGATCTCTTGGGTCGTGTCAGGGAAGGGGTGTAACGATGGATGGTGCTTAGGGTTTAGGGGTTAGGGTTGAGTATTTCAGGTTTAGGGGCTAGGCTCGAGCATCTAAGGTTTAGGGTTGAGGGTCGAGAGTTTCGGGTTTAGGGACTAGGAAGGCTCGAGGGTTTAGATCGTCAGGTCGTCAGCCGCCAACCAGGAAGCCTAGACCGTCCCCCCAGAAGCATCCCTAAAGCGTCACTCTTTCCAAAACCCAGACCTTCCCTAAACTCCAGCTAAACCCTACCTTATAATAGTATCTTAAATTAAATTCTTAACAGGAACTGAGGAAATTTCGGAAGAGATCCTTAGTGTGGTCTCGTGGTTTAGGCCTGAAGGTCCTCCACACGTGGAGACGTGATTCTCATCAAGTGCCGCAACAGACCATTTTGGGGTTTTGGGGTTTACGGTTTAGGGTGTAGGGTCCAGGGTTTAGGGGTTTAGGGTTTTGGGGTTCTGGGGGTTTAGGGTTTAGGGTGTAGGGTCCAGGATTTAGGGGTTTACATGGGGTTTTGGGTTTCGGGTTTAGGGTGTAGGCCCAGACTTTAGGGGTTTATATAGGGTTTTGGGGTTTCGGGTTTAGGGGGTATCGAAGCTACGTGCACCCTCCTCTATCCAGGAGATGCGTCAGCTGCAACGCCGCTTCCGCAGAGCTCTCCCCAAGCAGAAGGATCTTATACTTAGGAGTTTCTGGTGTCCTCCTTATAATACCCTAAAACCTAAACTATGAGCCTTAAACCCTAACCCCTAAACCCCAAACCCTAAACCCTAAACCCCAAACCCTAAACCCCAAAACCTAAACCCTAAACCCTATAACCCTGGAACCCTGAACCCCACGAACACTTGAGAGAAGCCTCTGAGGAAGCCGAAAAGAAGGAAGTGGTGGTGCCCCCCAGCCGCCAGGCCCAAGCATCGGGTCCACGCAGGATTTTGGGCTCCATAAGGGTTATTATAGGGTTTAGGGTTTAGGGTGTAGGGTTTAGGGTAAGTTATGGGAAGTGTTACTGTGGTTACAATAAGGGTTTGAGGGGTTTAGACTTTCGAGTGTCGGGGTGGGGGTTTGGGGCATCCGAGCCGATTGATTTTTTTTACAGCTGTGAGCAGTATGAGGGTTTAAGGGCTCAGTCCTTGTTCTTAAACCCTAAACCCTAAACTCTGAACCCCTAAACCCCAAACCCTAAACCCTAAACCCTAAACCCTGAACCCTGAACCCTAAACCCCAAACCCTAAACCTCAGGGTCCAACGCCTCCCGAAGCCGCGAGCTTCGCGCAAACCGAGGGCTCCACGTAGCAGTTACGGGGCTCTTCTAAGGGATTCTGTGAGGGTTTAGACTTTCAGGGTTTAGGGTTTAGGGTTTCAGGGTTTAGGGTTTAGGGTTTAGGGTTTGGGGTTTAGGTTTTTTTGGGTTTAGGGGTATCATGTTAGGAAAGCAGATCATCTACACAGCATATCCCACGTGATGTTGCTGACGTGAGATTCCTTAATGTTCCTGTTGTCCAAGTGAACCTCCGGGTGTAAACGACCCCTGTCAGGATGCCTGTTTCGGCATTGTGATTCAAGCAGTCTCTCTGAAGTTCATTAGGGTTCAGGGTTTAGAGGTTTAGGGTTGAGGGCTTAGGATTTAGGGTTTAGGGTTTGGAGCACTGACCGGTTGATACATCTCCAACCCTTGGTGTAACGCGCATTTCAAGTCTGCCGAAATCCCAAACCCCGAACCAAAATCCGATATCCGATTTTGAACCCCCAAGCCGAAACCCTGCCCTAAACCCCAAACTCCTACAGCCCCCAAACCCGTAACACCCTGCAAGCCCTATGAGCCCTAAGCACCCAAAAGGCACCCAACAAACACCAACACCACAAAAAAACCATGAGCCCCAAGCCCGCAACCGCCAAAAGCCATCCAAAAAGCACCAAAACCGTAAAACCCCTAGAAGCCCAAACCCACCCAACAAACCCCAAAACCGTAAAACCCTGAGCCCTATAAGCTCAAAAACCTCCAACCAACAACCACCCAAAACGCCCAAAACCGTCAAAACCCCTATACAAGCCCTAAGCCTCCAAAAGCCACCCTAAACCCACCCTAAACCCTATTGAGCCCAAAGAGCCACCCTAAACCCTAAACCAAAAAAGTCACCCCAAAAAACCACGCCGCAGGGATCGAAAACCTCGGCCCGGGGCGGCTCAAAGGGATCGGCCGCCGTGCGGGAACCCGGCTTTGGGTTCTACAACTTGGAGGTTCATGGGTAGTTATAAGTCCTCCTTTAAGGGTCCCTTTAAAGGGATCTATAGGGATTCTATAAGGGTATAGGGTTTAGGGCCTACTTGGAGGTTCATGGGTAGTTATAAGTGGGGTCATAAGTAGGGTAACTATGGTCATAACCCCTATGAGGGGACTTTTAACCCCATTCATAACTACCCATGAACCTCCAAGAAGGGTTTCGCAGTTTTCGGGTTTAGGGTTTAGGAAGTGTGCGGTCGTGGGAGGGTTTCGGGGTTTGGGTTTAGGGTTTTAGGGTTTTAGGGTTTTAGGGTTTAGGGTTTAGGGTTTAGGGTTTGGGTTTAGGAAGTTTCGGGTTTAGGGTTCTACTAGGGTGACTAGCTCCGGGTTGCGTTACAAGAGTCCTACAGGCGTTTTATGAGGGTTTACTAGGTCCATTCGGATTTTCTGGAGTCTTTAGGTTTCGCCGTTTGGAAGAGTAGCTACAGGGTTTCTGCAAGGGTTCTACAAGGGTTCCATGAATAAAGATAGGAGTACGTGGTCAAGGGGTTGAGGGTTGAGGCGTTTCGGGGCTAGGGTTTTGGTCTTTCGGGCTTTATTGTATTGGTTTGGGATTTGGGGGGTTTGAGGATTTTGGGTCTCAGGGTTTAACGGTGTAGGGTTTAAGGTGCAGGGTGTTGGGGTCCAGGGTTTAGGCAGCGGCTTCCCTAATGGTTCAAACAACTTTGTCAGCACACCCTAAACCCTAAACCCTAAACCCTAAACCCTAATCAGAACAATACACGGCTCAACCCAACAGCCCGAAATACTAAACCCCAAACCCCCGAAAAACTGAGCTCGGCAAAGCCACAAAGCAAGCCTGACAGGGCAGCCCTCCGCCGGAGCAGGACGCCAGAGGGTACTACTCCTCCTGCTGCTAGTGCCAGTGCTAGTGTTGATGATATAAATCCTTCAATACCCTAAGGACCCTAGACTATGGGAATTATAGTACATTGCTTATCCTGGGTAATGCAGGGTTTGTATCATCCACCGTAGTGCTAGTGCTAGTGTTGGTGCTAGCGCGAATTCCTACTGCTACTGCTACTGCTACTGCTACTGCTACTGCCACTGCTACTGCTACTGCCACTGCTACTGCTACTGCTACTGCTACTGCTACTGCAGCTGCTGCCGTGGTGGCGAATGCGGTTGTGATTGAGCCTGAGACTACTCCTTACTGCCGCTATCACCGCTGTTACCATGACCTCGACTACTACGACAGCGACGGCTCCTCCTCCTCCTCCTCCTCCTCCTCCTGCTCAGGCTGCCAGGATGATCCTCATTGCCACGGTTTAGGGTTTCGGGTTTAGGGCTGCTGCGGCAGTCGTGGGGTAGTCCTTCTTAACACTTGCAACACACTCTGCGTGACTGCTAGACGATGTAGCCATACCCGAAATGCCAAACATTGTTCGATGGTGTTGTTGTTGATGAATGGGCAGGATGATATCGGAAAGGCTGTCAGTCAGCCGTGAGTGCGACGACGGCGATCGTGATTCCGATTGCAGTTGTGGCCATCTAGATCTTCTGCGAACTGCTCCCGTTTGTAGCTTTGTCCCTCATGCTCTTGCTCAGTATCGTTACTCGTCCTTCTTGATCCAATATTGGGGCTCTTGGGCATACATGGGTGGTTGTCAAAATTATGGCCCCTTTTGGGCACCCTAAGTATTAGGTGCCGTATTATAAGAAGGACCCGAAAAGGGATCCTAATTTTGACAACCACCCTCGTGTAACGCTGTTTGGATAGTCCTTGTGTGGACTCCAGCTTCGGATTGTGAGGCTTAGGTTCTTAACTTTTAGGGAGGCTCCGGCACGGGGGGGGCTCAAGAGGAAGACCAAATAATAATGCCGCATCCGAAGGATTCCTTAAAGTTTACGGGGTGTTGGGGTTTGTGTACATGGTATGTAAGGGTAGCTTTCGGCAGAGGCTGTAGACAGGCCTTCGCCGATATCTCCCGAAAATCTACCCAGAACCCCAAACTTAAAGTTCAATCCTACTAGGCCCAGGCCGCACACCCTAAGCCTTGGACCCCATGTAATCATCATTTCTGAACCCTACTACACCCGCTCCCAAATTTTCAATTTCTTCACCCGAAGCCGGAACCCTGAACCCAAAATGCGCAACTCTGACCCAGATGAGACTGTAAACCCTGAACCCTATTTCCAAAAACTTTAAAACACAACCAAAAGCAAATTTTCAACCCTAAGCCCTAAACCCTAAACCCTAAAGCCTAAGCCCTAAACCCTAAACCCTAAAGCCTAAACCCTAAACCCTAAACCCTAAACCCTAAACCCAAACCATCAACCCCGAACCTCCAAGCTCTCGGTGAGCGTGCAGGAGGAGCCCGAAAAGCCGATGAAAGGGCAGCGTTTGGCGCGTTTGTTCTTTCGTGCTTGGCTTCACCGGGTTTTTCATAGATAGCTATGGTGGATGATGTAAATCCTGCATGACCCATGATAAGGAGTATGGCATAATTCCCATAGCACAGGGTCATTCAGGTAATGCAGGCTTTATATCATCAACGGTAGGTAAGTAGGGCCGTTTCCACTTCTCGATGCGTTTGCATGGCACCTCTATGGTTTGTGTATGGCCTGTAGGCTTAGGGTATGGTTTAGGGCTTAGGGTTTAGGGTTTAAGGTTTTGTAGGGGATGGGTCGCCGCATCCAGTTGCCGCTTCCATGGTTATGGTGGTTCTTGCGTCAACGAGCAGCGTAGTGCAACGCTTCGTGCGCCTTGGGAGCTCCAAGGGTGTCCAGGAGGACTTGAAGCGGATCCTGCCGTTGATTCAGACTGTGCAAAGGGAGTTCCCACGATTGAAAGACATGGCGGGCTCCGACGCTCGGAGCCTCAAGAACTCCTCTATCTCAGCATCTTGCGGAACAGTCGCGAACCTCGTTGCTGGAGGAGTTCTGTCCACTGCCTCACCAGGCATGAGGGCCTGCGTCCCCTACAAAGACATTGCAGTCCACGTGGGCAAGCTGGAAGAGGAAATCGAGTCTTGGGAGCGAACTCTTGCTCTCCGAACTGCAAGCAAAGGAGGCACTGTGGCGTCGGTAGACAAAGAGGGTCGATTCGACCCTGCCAAGAGCGCACACAGGGATGCAACTGCTGCAGCAAAGATGAGTCAGGACGAATTCAGGGTGTATGTAGGGTTTGCTCTTGGGATCTTCATGTCCATCCCATCGCGGTGCAGAATTCGGGGCAACCGGGTCTAGATGCTTGGGGAGTGTGGGGCCGTGCTGATATGATCGATGGATAGTTGCGAAGGATTCAGAGCTCTGATGTTGAGACGCCTGCTTCCGGAATATGGAGTCGGCGGCCGCGGATTTTGGCGTAGCCCTACCTGTAGCCGAAAGGACCTACCTTTTTAAGGAACTATACATAGAAACCATAATAAGGAACCCTAAAAAGGTAGGTCTTTCCGGCTACAGGTAGACCCTGAACCCTAGACCTAAACCGCCCTAAGCTTTCGCGGCAAGAGCGGACAAGTCGGCTGGTTTGGTTTGATCCTTTTATGTCCTCCAACCCTGTCTGACCACAAGGGGGGGAATTTTCGCCGGGTGGAACAGGGTTGCTAGGGTTTAGCATAGTATACTTATGTTAATCCGTATAAACCCTAAATCCTGTAATGCACCCTACTCAGGAATAGTGCAGGTAATTCATCCTGCATCACAGCCTTCATGCCGGCTCTGCGCCCTGAACCCACCGAACCCTAGATCCGAAATCCTGGGCCCTCCCAAATACTTCAGGTCCCCTTCATTCATGAAGGGATGCTCTCAGCAGTATAGTTGGAATCCTTACACCTGGCACACAAAGCCCGAATCCCTAAAATTACAATCTAATAATAAGTAGCCGGGATCCTGAAATCCTAAACCTTAAACCGAGACATGTATTCGGGATCCTTTCTCTTGACCAATCTCCATGGGCTTAGGCCCAGAACTCTAACACTATGGCCGCACCTACGGTTGATGATATAAATCCTGCATTACCTTAAGGACCCTAAACTATGAGAATTGTGGTATATTCCTCATTATAGGCAATGCAGGATTTATATCATCAACCGTATGTGCGAGCCTCTAGTCCGGCGGTAGGTATCATGTGCCTGCTCTACATCCTACCCTACCCAGGGGCTCCCTAGCTTAGTAGTTCCTTTCTGGGATTACCTTACGCATTCATTCTATATATGAACACACAAAAAGGAACGACTATGGAGCCTCAGGGTAGTTTGGAATGCTTACATGCGCTCGAAGCGCGCACAGCATATTGATTAGGAGTTCGTTTTGCCGATAGTCCGTTGTAGGTACCCTTGCATGCATCTCCCCCGGATCGTCCGAAGTGACGGCTTGCAATGCATAAACCCCTGAAGCCTACAGTATACCCTGAGCCCCTGCGCTTGCCAGGAGCAAGTTCCTCCACATGCTCGGGTCTCTCAGTGCGGACAAGGTCAAGGAGACCTTAGCCAGGGCAGTGCAGCGGTTGGTAACATAAGGTTAAGGTTCAGGGTAGAGGTTTGTTGAAAGAGAAGGGTTTGAGGTTAAGTGTCAACGTTTTAAGGTGTTACGTCTCTGCGGATCTATGGTGGGCCATAGCTAAAATCGCGGGCACAGGTCCGTCGAAACTCCGGGCAAATAGCTTCGCGGCCGTGACGCCGTTAAACCCGGGAGTTCAGTCCTAAATCCTCAGCCGCTGCCCAAGTTCCAAAGTCATTACACACCAAAACTTTCAGGACATCTTCGCTGGTAGCCCAGACGAGCCCAAGAAGAAAGAGGCCGGCATGACACAAGCCGTAGGATGCAGGGATAGCATTGTTTCTAAGGTTGTTTGGAAATCGGCGTAGAGTTTAGGGGAATCCGAAAAAGAACGTGCGATCCCCCGGCAGATACCGAATGTAGTTATTATAGATGCCCATGAGAGATCCCCACTGTTCCCTACTGTGGTTTAGGGTTTAGTTTCGTGTTTAGGGTGCCAAAAACTTACACACCAAACAAACTTGCCCTAAACCCTAAACCCTAAACCGGGGTTTAGGGTTTAGGGTTTAGGGTTACTGAGGGCTTCGAAGACCCGACACCGGAACAGACTGGACAAACCTTGCCGTTGTAGGGGCGAAGCCGCTTTCTTCCCTCGACTCCTCGGCAGCAAACCCAGCACACTATAGGGGCCATAATAATGCCATATTACTTTTAACATCGGACATATTACAAAAGCCCCTCACAGCAGCCTTACAAAAGATGGTTTCTCAAACAAGCCCGTGTAAAGAGTCCTACATTGCATTGTTGCATCTTTCAAAGCAAAATCCCAGCTTCCGCCAGGTGGTGCCGCCAAGGGTCAAGGCGTGTGCTGGGGCCGTCATCCAGGGTTTGGGTTGTAATATAGGGGCCTAAATAATTTCCAAAAGTATCTGGTGGGTTCCTTATTATAGTTATAGTAGAACGGGCAGCAAAACCCTATTCTAACTACTGAGGCCCCTACATTAGGGTCTAGGGTTTGGGGTTTAGGGTTTACGGTCGAGAGTTTAGGGCTAGGGGTTTAGTTTGGGCTTTCGGGTGTTTGGGGTTCAGGAATTAGGATCTACAGGCCGAGAAAGCGCAGTTTCGAGGTTCGAAGGCTTGTGCAAACGAGAGAGTGCACAGTTCTAATCCTCCTAGGCAAGCCTAGGGTTTAGGGTTCAGGGTTTAGGGGCCTGGGTTTTCTAGACAGCCGGCTAAAAACTGGATTTCCTAGAGAAGCCTAGTAGAAGCAGAATTAGAGCCCCAAACGCGAAATCCCAAAGCTTACAATGTCCGTATCCAAGCGCCGAACGACGCATTACAGGAGCTTGTTACATGCAGAAAATTGCCCTGCCATCCTTGAATTGTGAGATTTATGGAAGTAGACTAGAATGCTATTTCCTGCGTCGGCTCCAATCTCTTTACATGATGAAAACACCGACTACAATGCACCGTTAGAAGGACCGTCGATTTATTTGCGCAGCTTTTCTCGGATTTTTGAAGTTTTAGGGCCGGAGGTTAAGGAGGTTCGGGGCTGCGGGGTGGATGTGATCTGTAGATTGGGGCAGTATATAGATGATAAGGGGCCCCCCCACCCTGTAGTAGTGGTATAATAGGAATATAATAGGGCCCTAATATAATCCCTTATAGTCACTATTACATGGTGGGGGCCCCTTCTAAAGTATAGACATCAAGGGTGTTGGCGTCAGGTTCCGTTGGTAGCCTTCGCGATTGCCGCTCCCTCGTTTTCAATCTTTTGAGATGTACTGGTGAAGGAAGCTATTCCTTAGGGGTACTTAGAAATGACTTTTTAATTTTTGGTTATTATAATCCCTAAGAAACAGCTAGAATTATGATTTTGCTAGGGTTCTAAGTTCAGTATAGGATTCCTCAAAACCAGGCATTTCACCGAACTCTAAGCTCCCACCTCGAATTTCTACAGTATACAGCCGAAGCATCAAGCTGAAAAGTCAACTAGGATGCCCAGTAGTACCCTTATTCCCTTTTTGTAGTCCTAGGTTCCTTATAAAGTTACCCAATACCAAACAGAGAGGCCTTTTTATTCTTAGGTTACTGGGTATCCTAGTCAATCTCTGCTTTCCTGGCCCTAGAGTCGGAGCCCTGAGCCCACACCTTTAAAGGGAACTCCAGAAAGCTGGAATATGGATTAATGGTAGGATCCCCTATATTTTACCTTAATGAGATTATGATAATGATATTCCAACTTTCTGGCTTCTACTGTATCGCGAAAGACGGCCACGGCGGACTTCCAATGGTTGGCGAAGCCCTTCCGGGACATGAATGACAAGGAGCCGGGCCGAAAACTGCGGTGTAATATCGGGGTCTGAATAGTTACTAATGGTATCCCCTTGTAAAGTTCCCCGGACTTAAAGTATCCTAGACTAGACCCCACAACTCCAAAGGTCGACCCCGGATCAATAACCACCTTGCTTTGCAAAGTCGCTACAGTAGGCACTACACCCTAAACCCTAAACCCGAAACCCATAAACCCCTAAACCCCTAAACCCCTAAGCCCCTAAGCCCCTAAACCCCTAAACCCCTAAACCCTAAACCCTAAATCCATATAAACCCCCAAACCCCTACACCCACACCCTGCTTGCGCACTCGCCTCTGCACTTCCACTTGCTTCAGCTGGGCCGGGGCCATGCCTCTCGCTGTTTCAGATCCAAGGGTGAAAGGAGGGACCCTTAATAAGGACCCCTAGGTATATTCTAGGTAGGGCTTTGGGACATTTTATATTTTCTCTTGTTGGGCTGAAGAGGATCTTATTTACTAATATTTTCAAAGGCTCTAAAAGCCCCACCTAGTATTACATACCCTTGGTGTAGCCATTATATACCCATTATATAGCCCATTATAGGGTAGGGGTCCCCATTGAGGGTCCCTCTTCTTCTTCAGGTCCTAGTCTTCACGGAGTGTAGAGGTGGAAGTTTCTGGGTTGACGCCTAGGAAGGAACCTCCGACAAAGAACGCGTCGTTGCGGAGCTTCCCTGTAGGCCGTATGAGATGAGTTGTTTCTGAGCTCGGCTACTTCGGTTCCCTCGCAAGGAGCTGAAGTCCTACTCCTTGCTCATTGCCCTGGACGAGTGCTGTCGGGATCACTTCTTGAACGTGGGCTCCGGCGCGTTTTGGGTTCCTTTAGGGCTTTCTCGGGTGTAGGGTGTAGGGTGGGTGCAGGGGTTTTGGGTTTAGGTATAAAGGGGCTTTCGGGGTTGTCGGGTCGTATTTAGAGTGTTAGGCTTGAGGGGTTCAGGCAAGGGCTTATCTCGCTTCGGGCTGCTTTTCTTGGAAGCTTGTGGAATGCACTCCCGTGCTTTGATCTATAGTGTAGGGATCGGAGCAACACAAATAGTGCCCTTATGTAAGGGCGATTGGTTACGCAACGGCTCAGAGGTTCTAAACTCGTCTCACCTTTGTGCTTTTAGCGAGGCAGAACTCAAAGCTGGTTTTGAAAGCATCGAGGAACACAAAATCGCATTTGCCCCCATGCTTGGTAGTTCAGCTTGTGGCCATCAAGAGCGACCGTTTTCATTATGGTGGAGACCGAAACGTGACATTGGAACATCTTCAAGCCGATCTCGTGCAATCCCTGAATCGCTATGCTGATAGAGGGAACGGGCTGGGAGCCACGCTGCACGTGGTGACCGGCAAGGGGGATTGGAAATCTAGGAAAAAGTGGCTCCAGCAGAGCCGTTACTACGGCAAAGTTTTCTGTATGCGTTGTTTCGCGGCAAAGGACAATTGGTTGGACATCGAAGAAAAGTTCAACGAGCCACAGGATATCGCTGGTGCTCAGGAGACGGCAGTGGCGCCCAACAGACCCTTCCGAGAACTCAGTGGTTGGTCTTGCAACATGGAAGTCCCTGATATGCTACACTGCGTATATCTGGGTACTGGCAGACACCTTGTTCCCTGAACCTCGGTCAAGCATGGTGAAGCTATAGAACCTGGTACGTAGGACCTTTAGGTCCTATTTGGCGTAGGGCTTGCTCTGTGTCTTAATATATACTGTGTATATACGCAATTAAAAATTTAAAGAATTTAAAAAAATTAAAGGGGGTAAATCCTTTAAATTTTGAAATCGTCCGGAATTAAAAATTTAAAGAATTTAAAAAATTTAAAGGGGGTAAATCCTTTAAATTCTGAAATCGTCCGGAATTAAAAATTTAAAGAATTTAAAAAATTTAAAGGGGGTAAATCCTTTAAATTCTTTAAATTTTGAAATCGTCCGGAATTAAAAATTTAAAGAATTTAAAGAATTTAAAAAATTTAAATCTCCAGCTCCAGCCCCAGCCCCCCAGCCTTCGACCCCAGCCCACGGGATTAAATTTTTTAAATTCTTTAAATTCTTTAAATTCTGAAATCGTCCGGAATTAAAAATTTAAAGAATTTAAAAAATTTAAAGGGGGTAAATCCTTTAAATTCTGAAATCGTCCGGAATTAAAAATTTAAAGAATTTAAAAAATTTAAAGGGGGTAAATCCTTTAAATTCTGAAATCGTCCGGAATTAAAAATTTAAAGAATTTAAAAAATTTAAAGGGGGTAAATCCTTTAAATTCTTTAAATTTTGAAATCGTCCGGAATTAAAAATTTCAAGAATTTAAAGAATTTAAAGAATTTAAAAAATTTAAATCTCCAGCTCCAGCCCCAGCCCCCCAGCCTTCGACCCCAGCCCACGGGATTAAATTTTTCAAATTCTTTAAATTCTTTAAATTCTGAAATCGTCCGGAATTAAAAATTTAAAGAATTTAAAAAATTTAAAGGGGTAAATCCTTTAAATTCTGAAATCGTCCGGAATTAAAAATTTAAAGAATTTAAAAAATTTAAAGGGGGTAAATCCTTTAAATTCTGAAATCGTCCGGAATTAAAAATTTAAAGAATTTAAAAAATTAAAGGGGTAAATCCTTTAAATTCTTTAAATTTTGAAATCGTCCGGAATTAAAAATTTAAAGAATTTAAAGAATTTAAAGAATTTTAAAAATTTAAATGTCCAGCTCCAGCTCCAGCCCCAGCCCCCCAGCCTCCGACCCCAGCCCACGGAATTAAATTTTTTAAATTCTTTAAATTCTTTAAATTTTGAAATCGTCCGGAATTAAAAATTTAAAGAATTTAAAAAATTTAAAGGTTGTAAATCCTTTAAATTCTGAAATCGTCCGGAATTAAAAATTTAAAGAATTTAAAAAATTTAAAGGGTGTAAATCCTTTAAATTCTTTAAATTTTGAAATCGTCCGGAATTAAAAATTTAAAGAATTTAAAAAACTTAAAGGGTGTAAATCCTTTAAATTCTTTAAATTTTGAAATCGTCCGGAATTAAAAATTTAAAGAATTTAAAGAATTTAAAGAATTTTAAAAATTTAAATCTTCAGCTCCAGCCCCAGCCCCAGCCCCCCAGCCTCCGACCCCCGCCAGGGCCTGCCCCCAACCCCCAGCCCCAGCCTCAAGCCCGAGACCCCACCCCCACCCAGTCCTAGCCCCAGCCCCCACCTCGCAGGGCCTGCCCAGCCGCCGCCCCAGCTCCTGCCCCCTGCCCCTAGATTCCAGCCTCCGGCCCCTCGTCCGGAATTAAAAATTTAAAGAATTTAAAGAATTTAAAGAGTTTTAAAAATTTAAATCTTCAGCTCCAGCCCCAGCCCCAGCCCCCCAGCCTCCGACCCCCGCCAGGGCCTGCCCCCAACCCCCAGCCCCAGCCTCAAGCCCCGAGACCCCACCCCCACCCAGTCCTAGCCCCAGCCCCCAGCCCCAGCCCCCGCCCCAGGGCCTGCCCAGCCGCCGCCCCAGCTCCTGCCCCCTGCCCCTAGATTCCAGCCTCCGGCCCCACGCCCTTTTCGCCCACCCCAGCCTCAGCCTGTGGGCCCCAGCCCCAGCCTGCACCCGCACCCGGCCTCCAGCCCCAGCCCAAGCCCGAGGGAGGGCCCCAGCCCCCGGCGACACCCCTTGCGATTTGATTTGGAACCTATTGGTTGAAAAAACCTTTAGGGGGACACTCATTGCGATCTGTGATGCTAGTAATGGAGTTCTTACAAAACCTTAGTTAGGGGGACACCCCTTGCGATTCGTGTTTTTGAAACATATTTATTACAAAAACCCTTAGGGTGACACCCCTTGCGATCTATGGTTTTCGGATCTGAGTTACAGGTGTTTTGCTGGACCACAGGTCACTTCCGCCAGATTTTGCCAGCAGATGTGTGAAATCCCTAGCCCTTGTTTTCATGCGGTATTTACAGGTGTTTTGCTGGACCACAGGTCACTTCCGCCAGATTTTGCCAGCAGATGTGTGAAATCCCTAGCCCCTGCTTTAGCGCGGTATTTACAAGTGTTTTGCTGGACCACAGGTCACTTCCGCCAGATTTTGCCAGCAGATGTGTGAAATCCCTAGCCCCTGCTTTAGCGCGGTATTTACAGGTGTTTTGCTAAACCACAGGTCACTCCCGCCAGATTTTGCCAGCAGATGTGTGAAATCCCTACCCCTTGTTTTCACGCCGTATTTACAGGTGTTTTGCTGGACCACAGGTCACTTCCACCAGACTTTGCCAGCAGATGTGTGAAATCCCTGGCCCTTGTTTTAACTCGGTATTACAGGACCACAGGTCACTTCCGCCAGATTTTGCAAGCAGATGTGTGAAATCCCTAGCCCTTGTTTTCATGCGGTACTTACAGGTGTTTTGCTGGACCACAGGTCACTTCCGCCAGATTTTGCCAGCAGATGTGTGAAATCCCTAGCCCTTGTTTTCATGCGGTATTTACAGGTGTTTTGCTGGACCACAGGTCACTTCCGCCAGATTTTGCCAGCAGATGTGTGAAATCCCTAGCCCCTGCTTTAGCGCGGTATTTACAGGTGTTTTGCTGGACCACAGGTCACTTCCGCCAGATTTTGCCAGCAGATGTGTGAAATCCCTAGCCCTTGTTTTCATGCGGTATTTACAGGTGTTTTGCTGGACCACAGGTCACTTCCGCCAGATTTTGCCAGCAGATGTGTGAAATCCCTAGCCCTTGTTATAGCGCGATATTTACATGCTTTCTGCTCGGTCGCGGCTCGGGCAGGGAAGGCTGGGCGTGCGGAAGCAGGCAGCCGTGCCCACCCACCCCGTCCCATCCCACCACACACCTCACTCCACCCCTCCCTCTTTATCATCCACCTCATCATCTTCACTATCTTCCTCCTCCTCATCCCTCGTCCTCCTCCCATACCCCTCCCTCCCTCTCCCTATCCCTCCCACTACCCCCTCCCCTCACCTTCCTCACTCTCCCCCACCTCCACTCCCTCTACCTCTCCTCTTCCCCTTTCTCTCTCCTGGAATCTCCACCCCCCCCCACCCTCCCTTCTCTCCTTCTTAAATATCCCCCTAAGGTTTTGTGAAAACTCAGATCCCAAAACCACAGATCTTAAGGGGTGTCCCCCTAAAGGTTTTCATGACAAGTAAGTGCAAAAAGCACAAATCGCAAGGGGTGTCCCCCTTAAGGTTTTGTGAAGATTCAAATCCCAAAACCACAGATCTTAAGGGGTGTCCCCTAAAGGTTTTCATGACAAGTAAGTTCAAAAATCACAAATCGCAAGGGGTGTCGCCCTAATATTTTGTAAGAACTCAGATCCAAAAATCACAGATCGCACGGGGTGTGCCCCTCTCAGGCTTTGTAAGAACTCAGATCCAAAAATCACACATCGCAAGGAGCGTCCCCCTAAAGGCGTTTGTAAATGATCCACCCTGTCCCTCTCACTTGCCTCCTACCTCCCCCACTCCTAACTCATTCCTTCCCTTCCCATCTCATGTCTCCTCACCTCCCATCACTTTTTCTCCCATCCACTCATCTTCTTATCATCTTCTTATCACCTTCATCACTTTTTAATTTGTCTTATGGGGTCTATAGAGCCCATATAGAAAGCTTCATAGATATATAAACCTTACAGATCCTCGAGATACAGAACTTGTAGGAACCGCTTATGTTTCCCACAAATGGAGTCCTTTATAAAAAATCTTTGAAAGATCGATTATATGGAGCCCTCATACACAGTCTTTATATACTCCTTATAGAAATCTATAGATCCTTTGTACAAATCCCTGATATGGAACCCTTTGTAGAAAACCCTTAGACTATACAATCCAAAGAACGCACCCACCCTCCACTCCCTCTACCTCTCCACCCATCTCCCCACTCCCTCCTCTTCCCCTCCCTTTGTCCACCCGCCCTCCCCTCTCCCCACCTTTTCCTTGCGCTCCCTCTACCTCCTCTCTCCACCCACCCTCTTCTCCCTGTTCCTCTCCACCCTCTCCCCACTCACTCACCCAACCCACTCAGCCCGGCCAGGCTCCCCAGCTGGCCCTGCCTCAAAGCAAGCCGGGCGTGCTGGCCGTGGATCTCAGCAGGCCCCTGCCCACCCTCGAGAGCCCACCAGGCTCAGCAGGCCAGGCCGCAGGCAAGCTGCGAGCTGGCCGCCTTCGGCAAGCTGTCTAACATTGTTTCTTATCCACTTTCACCTATTCCCCCGCTTCAGTCCATGCCCTACCTTTCACTCCTTTCCAGACCCTTCTGATATGAGTAAAATGAGAGGAGGAGGTCAGAGGGACGAAGAACAGCTCTCTCCATTACTTTCTCATCTGCTTTGACCCCTTCCCTTTCCTGGCTCCATGCATGCCCTGCGAGAAGAGAAGAATAAGAGAGAAAAGAGGAAGAGCAGAGGAGAAACTGGTTTCCCCTCTTTCATTACGTAGCATTTCTTTTGGCCACTTCCTCCACACTTCTCGTATCTTCCTCTCTCTTCTTCCTCTGCTGGGCTTGAAGCTCTCTCTCGCCCTCTCCGCAACTCTCTTCTTTCTGTCGAGCGGACGAGCGGTGGGAGAGGAAGGGCACAAGGTGAGTGAAGACGAGAACACTTCTTCCTTGTCTTCCTCCACAACCTCTTCCTGGTTTTTTACCAA